AAGGATTATTATTATCATAATCCTTACATTTGGCAAAAACATTTTTCATGTTGGGAGGACGTCCCAAAGCATTCACAGGATTTACTGTAAAGTGCTGTGATTGTAGGTTCTGTGAGTGATTGTTATTAACTTCAACTTCTGGATACAGAATGGGACTCCTTTTCCCCATTCATTTTGTTGTATCCTATTCCTGACAAATATGCCAGTGAGGTAGCCTAGTATTGACCTGAAAAAAATATGGTCCATCAGTTATTGCTCTAGGTTATAGTTTCTCCATTGATTTTGGTTAAATTTGGTACAAAACCTAAAAATGCCAATGTCTGATCTGAAGGTATTGCATGGAATGCTGAATGAGTGTGACCTGCTTTGTGGTTCTGAACTCATGCATTACTTACATCTACATCTAGCTGGTATTGAAGGCTTCACAGTGCTCCAGAACACAATGTCCCCTGGATTGATGACTTTTACCAGAAGAGGCAAATGATCACGAGTACAAAATCTGCTAACCTGAGCTAACTGACATGGTCAATGTTTTGTGAGGTGGTGCATAGTCTATCCGTGAGAGAATTAACTTTTTCATATTGTCTGCAGTTGTTTTGACATTGACTATTTAAACCAGGAATGCCCTGTGTGGAGGAGGGTGTTTTGCAACCAAATACAATTTGTTGTTTTTAACCATGAGATATTCTAACTGGGCAGAAAAGCGTTACAGTGTGTCTCATGTCAGAAGACACAATCAGTTACTGATCAGAGAGGGTGAGTCGCTTTGAAGACTAAGCAGAAAGAGATCCAATTCTCTGAGCAAAGGCAACAACAAAGCTGGTCAATAGGAGAATTGTTCTCAATGCAATCAGATGTTACTGGAAATCTGAAGGCTAGTGGTAGAAGAGGGGAGGTTGCACAGAGGAGTAAAACCTGAGAATGGGGCTATTCTTTGGTGTGTGTTGTTCTGGAGGCCCTTTTAACATTAATCTGTTTTAACAAGAGTCCATCTTAGCATGAGTTCATCATATTTGTATAGTTTAGAAAGCATGCATTTACCCACAGTTATCTTCCAAATTTAGCTGCATAATTTGTAACCATTTTTGGTGATACATTCATGGAATGTTTATGGTACCAGAAGATCCCAAACCAACTGCTGGTATTCCTGAATAATCTATTGCTGGGTGTCCACTGGGCAGTCGTTAGTGACTCTCTCCAAGGAAGACAACATTGCCTGGACTTCATTCGTCTTTAATTGGTCCATTAAAATGGTCCAGTTTTATCACAGTATCTTTGGATAAGATCTCACCTCTTGCAGTGGATGGCACTTTATGCTTCTGTTGCCCCTCCCAGTGGGAACTAAGTACTTCCATCAGTCCGGTGTGTGTTAATGAGAATTGACTATCTAAAACCAGCTCAAATCTGTTGAACTGGAATCAGTTATTGTTCCCTCTGACCAGTGCACCATCTATATACTGAATATCTGGCTGAGGTGTCTGTGGTATTGTCCATCATGATGTGAACTAAGCAAACAAGTGTGTGCATGTGCAGTAAGAAATTATGTCTAGTCAGTGGTGATAAGATTATCAATTATAATTGTAGGAGTGACTGGGGCTATAGGCCGAAGAGGCCATTATCTGTTTCAGGCCACATTGTGGCATTGTGTGGCACTGATGTGCTGGGCATTGTAATGGGATACAATCATAGCTTTGCTATGGATTTGTGATGAAATGGGCCCTCTGTTCACCATAATATCCCAATTTTTCAAGCCTCTCTCCTGTCTGCTGGAAGTCTAGGCTGAATTTTGTTCACTTGACTTTAAAAGATTATCAAACTGATATTGATTTGAGGAAAACATATTGCAAGGTATAAATGTATGGATCAGGTTACAAAATGGGGTGGTAGAGGGACATTCAGAAAGAAACTGGATGGTATCTGGGTAAGGGAGGGTAGCAGAAGGATGAGCTTGTATGGTTTTCTGATGGTGTGAGGTCACTTATGTTTTGTTAGGTTAACATACCCATTGTAACCATCCAAATACAGTTCCATCCCATCAGCCCAATAACTGAACTGGAATCAGTTATTGCTCCCTCTGACCACTGCACCATCGACATATATAGGGTTGAAGTTTCTGCAGTATTGCTTTGGGGGAGTCAGCCGGGTGTCTGACTCATGCAGACACCCATCACCATGCTTAAGAGTTCATTGTGATGTGAACTAAGAAAACCAAGTCTAAGTTGGAAGAATTGAAGGAAGAGGTTAAAGTTTTTTAACCTCTTCCTTCAATTTTGTTTGGACAGTAAGTGATCAGCTCATCATTGGTCTCATCTTCTACTAGTGCCCATCATGTTGGGGTGGTTGGCAGGCCAGCTTCTCTCCATTACATTGCTACTTCCATGTCGTGTCAATACCAGAGGTTCGAAATTCTCTATGAGCTTAGCCTCAAGATTGTTCATTTAAAATTTAAGATCGGGCACAAATTTCCAAAATGCTAGCCAATCTTGCATTTTAAGGCTAAGACCAGGTGAATTTTGGAATGCTTGATGGTCTTTTAGAGCCTGGAACCTTTATTTGTGACAGTTTACTTGGTATCAACATTGAGGTTTGTTTTGAGGAAGGGTGATTGGACTTATTTAACAAACATCTTGATGTTGTGATGGTAGGATGGTATTTTGGAAAGAAGAGATCTAATAGTCTTCCAGGAACAGCCCCTTCATTACACATCTGCAATTTTTGTTGATCCAAATGGCTGCCTTTGTGAGTTAGCTGTCGTTTATGAAGTACAATGGGTGTGGGATAATGATGGGACAGTACCACAGTGCCATGATGGTTGAGGGCCAAAGCCATGAAGGTGTGAGGAATCAGAGGTTGGCTGTCACAGCGGCAATGTGATGGCAGAATCTATCTATTCTAGTTAATGTCTTTGAAAGTTGTGCATAATGCAGCTACTCAACTATTGTAATGTGATGTTGATTCTATTTTATAGACAATGTTTTTAAAACAAGAAAAAGGACTATTGTAAAGCATCGGCATAGCTTGCTTATGCCCTTTGCTTAGGTTTAGTATCTTGAATTCTTTATGCTGATTCCCATTGATGGCTCGCCCACTCCGTTTAAACACCCACCACCATATTCTTTGTGTCTACATGTGGAATTTCTTCTTTACTTGTTTCTCCCATTGATGCAATGGCCTAAGACATGCCCCGGCACCAACCGAGGGGGGCAAATTCCAGCTTAACCAATGGATGAGAGTTTAACAACACAAGGCTGCCCTCTTCAACTCTGTTCCCTTGACTACCTGCATTACTCTATCCCTTGAGAGCTCCCAATCCGATGAAGCTGTCCATTCCTACAGGAATTTCATGTTGCTTAGGGAGTTGGATTGGGCTCATTCATTTCAGATCATGTCCTCATTTGAGGAAGAAAATCTCTTGAGATGATATCAGCCATTTGTGTCTCAGCCCAGACACAGTCAAGGCTTCACAATACAGTGGTCTCAGCCGCAATACAGTGGCCTCCACCGCAATACAGTGGCCTCCGCCGCAATACAGTGGCCTCCGCCGCAATACAGTGGCCTCCGTCGCAATACAGTGGCCTCCGCCGCAATACAATATTCTTCCTCAGGAACACCAAATCAAAGATACTCCAAGACCCTACAGCGCTATGGTAAGGTAAACAACCTTGAGTTATGCAAGAAACCCAGTCACATTGCTGCCGGATTCACATGAGTTGTACAACAAGAGAACAAATGTTTGTTCCTTTTCCTTCACCACGACAAGTCCTGCAAAGGTTACAGTTTTGGACTTTACACAAAAACATCTGTGATTCCCATTGATGTGACCAAGAAGCTGAAAAAAATATTAACATGGTAGATTCTCTGGGTGTTACAACACTTAATGCATACTTGCAATTACGGCTTCATACTTTATTGGCATTTTCACTGCATTCATCCAAGCAAGAGGTCAGTACGTTCCTATAGATTTTTTAAAACATTTAAAATCTCAAATGGTTTCTGTTTTTTTAAAAAAAGTAACAAAGAGAATATCATGGGGGGAAAAGACAGAATATTTCTAAGCTGAACTATTTCTTCCTTTCCCACCCACTGAACAGCCCACATGACTCGTAAGTGGTACTGGGACTCCAACAAGCCCCGTAGAGAGGATGTCTCTCATTCCATTCAGAGGAGGGGCACGTTTGTGGAAATCATTAATACACAGAATACTTCTAGAAACTTGAGCAAGACATTGAGTAAATACCAGGTAATCTGCTCTATTTAAAACAACTTGATGCTGTGATGGGAGGACAGTGGAGTGAGTAGTGTGAAGGACGAGATCCGTTGGATCCCCAGCGGGAGTTGGACCAATGGGCTCACTAGGCTGCCAATGTTCTTGAATCTTGTGAAATGCAAACGTTGCCCAACACGTTACCAGAAAATCCCAAAGGCCAGATCTTGGACCCATGGACAACTTGTTTTTCTTCAAACATTGACCTCAAGAGGACTCCACTATATTCAGTAGTCACTGAATGCAATGTACATACAAATGTTTCTTTGAGCTTCTATTCAAATGCAGCATCTCCATTCAGTTCTAATCGGATTTTGGATCTAGATTCGAACTTGCATTACGTCCAGCATCTCAATTTCAAGAAAGCATCTCGACGGCGGTTTGTTGTTGGAGGTCCTGCTTGCGACTCTGAATGAAATGCTGATCTCGGCTGCATTGCCTTGGACCAAGCAGAGGCCAGTTGCTGTAAATTTGAAGAGGGGGGTGGGGGGAGGAAGGAGGTTAGTGCCCTCAACACAATACCCCTGGTCGTTTTACACCCATAGACCAGCATTGGCAGAAACTTGGGAAATAGATAAGGGATGTGAGCTCTAACAAACAGTAAGGTTTCTAAAATTTAAGGATTTTTTTGGTTAGCGAGAGTCTGGGGACCCTCAGGGTTGGGCGTGCAAAGGAAGAGGCTACGGGGCTAAGAGGCTAATAGAGCAGTTTTAAAATAAAAATCTCTCTATTTCAGTAACCTTCATGTTAAAGATCCTCTGGTTGACAGCGCCTCGCCAGTCTACCAGGCTGTCATTCGTAACACTAACAAGGCTCAGATGGTGGGCCCCCAGAACGAGGTGGACGAGTGGGCTCGCCGGGCTGCTAACCTGCAGTCCAAATCTTTCCGCGTCCTCGCCCAGTTGACAGGAACGGAATACTGTAAGTACAGAAATCCTTTGATTCTATTTGAATGTGGAGTAAACAGTGCACTGCATCAGTCAGCTACCTCTTTACCTCTCGGACCTGAGTTTAATTCCAGCCCAAGCTGATGGGATGAAAGTCTCTTCAGCCTCTGCTGGCTGCAACGAGTCCTGGATGAAAGGAGCTGGATAGTCTGAAACTCAGTTCTCACTGGGAAACAGGCCCGAAGTTCAAAGCTCTAACTTGTCTACTTTACACAGAGATGCCATTGGGATGGCTGATATGTGAAATTATAATGCTTGGAGGTTCTCTTCTGAAGCTGGCATTGAAGGCATCGTGTTGGGCATGGTAGAGGGAGCTGTACCTTGCTTCTAACCTTTGATGGACAGAGTAAACCAAACTTTGCTCTGTACTTGACCCTGGATGCAAAAAGACTATGTCATGTAACGTACTGAATGTAATGGTGACTATAGCATTGTACAGATATTTGGTGTGTCGGCATAAGTGCAGCTGTGGTAACTTTTGCTCCATCATAAACACAATAGGAAACTGCAGGAACGCTCAACTGTGATGCGCTGTTAATGTGATGAGCCAATTTCAAAAAGGTTCAACAATGATCCAATCCATCACTGCATCTTTTCTCTGTCTCTCACTGGTCTGGGAAAAGGCTGCTACACAGTAGAGTCTGCTCTAACCATTTTACATGTGAAATCTATACACAAACTGAAACAGTCCTGTTTAAAGTCATGGTGCAATAATAAATGGTAGTGGATTGGATACAGAATTACAAGACTGTAATCTCTTTCTGGGGCCATGAATATTAAAATTACAATCACTCTCAGGTGCCCATGGCTCTGTACATCTGCACATTGTCCTAAGACATTAATGTATAAGTGGTTTCAATGGCCAGTTTTGCTCAGCCGAGTGCCTGACACATTCAGAAATCAACCACCATGACAATCTAAATCAGCCTGAATTCCATATATGTTTGTCACCAACACATGGACATTTCTGGGGGGGAAATGTTGCAGTAGATCATTGCTAATACTTTAATTGTTGTCCTGGTGACTTGTCCTGATATATTGTAGCTCGGACCATCACAGTAACTATTTGGGGTTCAGTTCATCTACCTATTTACTCAGTGATGTAATGGAACATATTGATTAGGGTGTGAACAGGTAACATCCAAACTGGGGTGGGGAATAAATCAGTATCACTGTTCATTCACCTTTTTCCACAGAGAACATAGTCTGTCCAGACTACATTAACTGGGGAATGCTTTGATTCCATATAGTTAATTTTGTGTTACTGAAACTGAATTGAATGGGTTCTTTTGAAATGAAGGAAGCTCTTCCATTTCACGGGCCTTAATAACTCAGCCCTCGGAGACGCTGTCCCATGTGAAGGTCTCTATATAAATGCAAGTTATTGTTGCACATGTCTAATGAGGTTAATGAAGTGCAAATATAGAAGTCAACCTCAGTGAGGGCCCTGGCTGCTCATTTGTGCCATGCTTCCCCAGGACTTGGTCATGTGGGGCTCTCATTCTGATGGAGTGTGTTGCTTTTGCTGAGGTGAAGGTGTGTGAATGAACGGACAGGGGAGCAGACGGTATTGCTATTCACATACAAAACCATGGAGGAGTGATGGAGCTCAATTAAAATTACAGGCGGGTGTGGGGGAGGGTCTGGACTGTGTTGTTATCTCAGAATATAGCAAATGCAATATGTTGTTGTATTCTGTATATGTTAAAAGTTTATTAAATAAACAATATTTATTTAATATTCCCTTTGCCTATTTCCCCCTCCCCCCCACCCCTACCATGTCCTCTAGCCATGCTCAGGACTCCAAGTTATCTGGTTGTCAGCTGCTGTTACTAGTTCTTAAAGTGAAACATATTAAAAGTATTTGATCTTTCTCAAGACTGAAATTCCTGAGATCCGTACCAGTTGTGAAAACAGGATGAGGACATTTTTATCAAACTTAAAATCATAGATTATCTCTTGACGTAAAGGTGAAGACAGGATGTGTTGTACATCGTGGTAATTTCATAATTAAGTTACTCGTTTTACAAACATTTTACCCTGCTTTTTGATGCAGAGCCATGTAAACTTCATGGGAATTATAGCCTCTTAGAATTAAAGGGACTGAGTGGCAAAAGGACAGTGTTTTCACACTGCCCTTTTGCCCCCGGAACTTGCGTTCAAATCTATCCCATGTGAACGAGTCTCCTTTCTCTCAGAAAGTCAGTAATATTATGTGTTAGAACACTGATCTTTTTACGAGAATACAATACTATTTACATAATGCCATTCAGGCTGGGAGGGCATCTCAAAGTGCTTTAGGTAGATGGCAGTTAACTATGACAACTTGTACTGACCCACAATCAACATCTGTGTACATGCTTTCCAGCTGAGGTGCTGGACAATCTTTGGGAACAGGGTCACTGTAGGTATCCCTTCCCTGTTTCCTCCCTTCCAAAACCGTAATCCAGGGGACTGAGGTCAGCTGCTGCCTGGCTATTCTTTGGGTCAGCCGGGTGTCTGACGCATACGGAAACCCATCACCGTGCTTAAGAATATCCAACCCAAACTGAGAATTCCATGCATCCCATCCACACGTGAAAATTTTAGAAATAGATTGTTGTAAGGGAATGTATACTCTCTTCCTGGAGAGTCCTGATTATTTAATTCAGGAATCCTGCTAACCGCATCCTGCTTACCTAATTCAGCAAAGTATTAGGCGCAGGCTGGCCAGAGCCAAGTTTTGCGGATGCCAGAGTGTGCGTTGGGATACTACTGGAATCTAACCAGCTAAAACCGCATAGCTTGCCTGGCTAAGATAGCTAATTCAACATTGAACCTGGCATTACAGCTCAGTTTTAGTCTATACAGTAGGGTTTTAACCACCTGCGCTGACGGGACACATTGTACCCAGCTATGAATAATAAAGTGTTATTCTAAGAATCTCTGGAGGACATTACCCACCCAACTGGAACGTCGCTTGCTCTTTCTGCCTTACTTCATTACCTTTCAGAAGGTAATGAAGTAGATTCCCAAGGAAGTCTGCTACTCTAACCCTCTAGCTCTAGATTCGGGGAGTGGCGAAAAGGAAGCTGCCCTTCTCAATTCAAGGACGTCTATGTTCATCTCATTCTCTTTGCTTTGTACAATCCATTAGATACATGGACACAGGGCAGAGGTTCAGTTATATTCCTGGGCTTTGAGGAAAGGAAAGTTGAGAAACTGAAGTGAAACCCATTAGACCATGTGCTGCAAGTAACCGATTTCTAATTTTTCCTGAAAACTAAACATTCCAAAGCTTGGCTGAGAGCAGATTTCAGACTGGCAGAGAAAATTTCCACAAATATCCTGCAAGTATCCCACCAGATCCGCAGTTTAACTTGGAGCCCTGTGCATGTAAAGAAGTTTTTTGTTGGCTGTATTAAACTATTTTCCCTCTTGTTTCAGTGCAAGATCCGGATGAGGATGCCATGAAGAGATCAAGGTAGGCACCTGGCGACAGCAGCAGTCACTCGGCCTACTTAACACGTACATCAAACATTTTATTGTTAATAAGGCAGTGGGACATTACACTTAATTGGTCATTAAGCTTAGAAATAATCAGGTTTCAATATATACAAAAACCTATCAATTGGACCAACCGTATACAACACACAGCTAAGGTCGGGCAGAAATCTAGGGCCGTGGGGATGTGTGTACAATTACATTGTGTAATTCATGCTTATGTATGTATCATTAATGGGTGTGAGCCTACTTTGATAGGCCATGGTAAGGCATCTGTGTTGTCCTGTAATGTAGTGTTACCCGAATGGCTTTCGCCACAGAGAACATGGTCTGTCCAGACTACATTAACAGTGACTGGGGAATGCTTTGATTCCATGGTTCGTTCTGTGTTCCTGAGACTGAATCCCGTGGGGTTTTTTTGAAGTGAAAGAGGCTTCCATTTTACGGGCCTTTATAACTCAAACCAACATGCAAAGCATTTTCCTCCTTTTTGCTGTTGTAGTCACAGTTCCATTAGGTAACTAATGTGACTGAGTAAGACTGAGTAAGTTGTTTGGTTTATAAGGCAGGGGAATGGCCATATTCCCTAATCCCTTACTCTTTCTCCTCCTCTCTCTTTCTCTCTTTCTCTACGCCACAGGGAAAAGTTTGAACATGAAGTAAAAGGTCCACGATTTGCCAAATTGCGCAATTGGCATCATGATCTGTCTGCACAGATCCTAAACATTAAAGGGTAAAATGCCCACGTGCAATAAGACAATTCAAGACGGTGACTAATCAAACTAAAAAAGCATTGTTACTGTCACAGTTGCTAAACAAAATTAGTGTAAGAACAGATAGATAACAAGTTAAATCAAGTGCTTGTTGAGTGTCTTCGATCCTTAGCCTTGTATCCCTCCTCTGTTACAATGTACTAGTGCTTAGCAGGACAGGTCTTCCCAATGTACTCAGCCAATAAAATGCTAAAAGGTTTATTTCTGTATAAGGAGTCAGCTTCTACATCTTTGAGTTCATTTAGAAAGAATTGTGAGATACTGGATGAAAAAATATCTGTTTTTTGTATAAGTAAAGGTGCAAGTTGAAACTAAGTGGTTGCTGTCAGAATATGGGGAATCCTCACAGAACACAGTTTAACTTGAACACAGCAATACATCAGGTCGTTGTAGTCAGAGGGCCACTGTCCGCAGAATAAATTAGGATATTTAAAGGAAGATAGGTAGATAGATGCCTGGAGGTAAAGGTATAAAGGGATGTGCAGAAAAAGCAGGGAGCTGGGATTAACAAAGAGTCTCGATAGACTGGATAGCCTACTCCTACTTCTGATTGTTAATAGAATGGGGAAGATTTAATGAAGTGAAGCTCAATGGCAACGAACAGCATCTCTGTTAAAAAGCTGAAATCTTAACAAAGTCCAAGATGGCTGCTTTGTGGATTCTTGAAAATCCTGCTGATTTGGGACATTGCAGATCTCACTTAAAACAGTCACTGCCTCTCACCAACATTACTCGTCACCAACAAGGCTTTAATAATCCACAGTCACCAGCCCTTGGATGCAGTAATCACCAGATCACACATGTGTTGGCAACTCCATTTAAGGTATTTTTTTTTGTCCCTCCCCTCTCCTTTTCTGTGCCTTACCCTCCCTCATTCTCCACTTCTCAGACAGTCAAACCGCTGGCAAAAATTGGAGTCTAATTCTCATAAACACTGCGTTGGTTGAACAAATTATTTGCTGCTTTATCGGGCTTCCCAAAACACAGCCTAGCTTCCTGGGAAGGGTAGTATTTTATTGTGGGTTTAGCCTAGTGTGAATCAGATTCCAGGGTAAGTGATAAGATTGATATGCAAGATGAAAATCAATTAGTCTATAACAGACTACACAACAACATCAGGGTGTTATATTAAAGTCACTTCCAGTAGCAAAAAGTAAAGAGTGATTCCTTAATAATTTGTCTACTAAATACACAGTAACTCCACTCTACAGTAAATCCTGTCAAGCATTGTGAGACATCCTCCTGACATGAAAGGTGCTATATCAAATGCAATGATTTATTATTAATAATAATAATTGCACGAGCATTCCTTCAGAAGATTGAGGAAAAACAAAATGTTTTATGAACCATTTAATGGGGGTGGGGGAGATTTAACGTAGCTAAGCTGGAAATTAATCAGGATAGGATGAAGGGATTCAAGCAAAGAAAGTTTGTCTTTAAAGACAGTTTGGTATTTGTAAATCTCTCAGTGTATTCTCATACAAGAGCAGGAGTATGGGATGGATTTTCACATTGCCTTTTCACTCTTCCATGTTTTCTTTCTCCCACCAATCCACCCCTTCCTCCCCCCCACCTCCACCCCCCTCCCCATGCCAATTTCATTTCATGTTGTGACATGGTTCTGCAGGTGCCAGCAGTGCTCTGATACCTTGCCCCAAGTCACTATTTTTCATGTGTGAGCCTAGTGAGTGTCTTTGGGCTATTCAGCCATTCAGGTCATCAAGGCAATGCTTGATCCCACTCGCTCTGTGCCACAAACAGGCACTTGCCAGTAGAGCTTATTGAATAGTGATAAGTGGAACTGTAGCTGATTTTTTTTTTTGCTTTCTTGCCACCCCAGTCAAATAATGCTGAGGCCAACTATAGCTTTGTGTCCTGCCTCTTAGCACAGACTGGGGACTGACACACAGATACAGTCTCTTATAGCTGAGTAGAATAGTGTGGAGTGCATTTTACCCACTGGGTCATCTTGGGGGGAATCTGCTTCTGTTAGTTTAATGGGAAAGGAGAGAAGAAAAATAAATAAAACTTTTACGAAGGAGAATTCATGGTTTGCAAAATAAGACTAGATAAAACAAATTATCAGCAGGATGTGTTCTCCATCAGGGGTTAAAGCACATGTGCTGTATAGAAATGCCCTGTATTAGATGTTTGGGACAATGGCTAGATGGTAGAAAGACTGAGCTGTGTGGCACTTTGCCCAAACTCCTAACTGTTGCGTTAGGCAGTGACCTGATAATATGTTTGTAGTTGATTTGAATAGAGATGACGGGTGGACATGTGACATTTGATGAGAATAGTGTTTAAGGTCAGATTTGGTGTGGGAGATTGTTTGTTTGGTGAAAGGCAGGGTTTATTTATTCGGTTCCTGTATTATTTTGTGCTTTAGCTGCTTTGATGTGAAATTTCTCTGTATATACCAGCACGTATTTCTCTGAAATAAACTAAAAATGACATTTGAAACAGACAATTAGCTCCTGTTTCAGTCTTTCTCTGCGTTGCCCTGTTAGATCAAGCACTGAGGCCGTTACTGTAAAACACAAATCCTATTACTTCCAGCAAAGCTATCTCAGTGCACTTAGAAGCCCCATTAAATAGACAGTATCAGTGTCAGACTGGCAAGGTTTATCTGTAACTCTCAGAGGATATTGTTGCAATTATAAGAAAAGAGGACGTAAAATGATCATTTCTGTGACTACTTCTTACAAAATAATCCATAAAATAAAAATAATTAAATAAAACAGAGAGTTGTTACGACTAGAATGCACTGCCTGAAATGGTGGTGGAAACAGATTTGATAGTAGCTTTGAAAAGGGAATTGAGTTGGTATGTGAAAGGAAAATATTGCAGGCTATGGGTAAGAGTCGAACAAGTTGGTAGCTCTTTCAAACAGCTGGCACAGGCACGATGCGCCTTCTCTGCTGTATGAATCTAGGATTCTATAATCCAATTCAATCCCTCCTCCTTCCTAAAACAAGCCTGCGTGAAAATCTCCGTCGAGACCTGATTGTCTGTCTCCATTGACGCGTGACTTCACATTGAAGGTCTGCAGCTGTTAAATACAATTTCAGGCCAGTTCTGCGGCAGGACTGAGCTGTCTATTGAAAAGAAAACTGATGGAATTGAGATGATAACTTAATGTTACTGTTTAATGCCCAGTTAACTGATTTAAACCCATGCTGCAGTATCTTGTAATCTGTATGCTTCAATTGTTGAATCACTAGGAGATGCTCATTTCAATTTGATATCACTGGTACAGCAAATTCTTTGAGGTTTATTAAGGCTGAATGAATGATTATAGCTGGTGAGTGTCTCCAGCTGGGAAATGAGAGAGAATTGGATTTAGAAAGGTAGTAAAACTGTAGAGAGAAGATGTATCTTCAGATATGTCCTGCATGGACCTGTTGGCTTGAACATGAGTAAGGGATACAAGGTCTGACACGTGGGCAAATAGACATCTCAGAATTGCGCACAATTAAATTGTTCTGGAAGATTCTGTCTCCGTGAGGACAGCTGAAACAAAAAGAGAGGCCTGTCAGGTAAACTGCTTGTCTGGTTGTGACATAGGGAAATACCCCATCTGCAGTGGGCTGTTCCTTTTCCAAACCAAAAAAAAACTAACCCATTTTCCACTGGATGCCTCCTTGACTGGTTGGAATACTGACTGCACGCTTTGCATGCTTGGAATTGATAACTATATGTGCGAGACTGGGCAGCCCACCTTCCATCCTCTCCCTCCATTCAACTCTGTTGGCAGCTTTTTGACTTCATGCTACCAGTAGCTCCATCGCTTACAATCATTGATACTAACTTAGCCATCACTCTACTTTACACTTCCCCTTCCATCTCCTCTAGAACTCAGATCCCAAACCATGATGCTACCAACATTCCTGTTGCATTGAATCCAATAACTATAGAGCACTACATTTTTTTTGAAAGAATTGTTTGTCAGATAATTCAAGGCCAGATGAATCTATTCACCTTTCCCTTTCTCCTAACCCCATCCCATTCTCTCTCTTCCCCCCCACCCCCACCCGCCCCACAGCCTGGAGTACAGTGGCTCTATCTGCTATAACCAATTTTTAGCTTTCACACACTGAAAAATGTATATTGCATTTGAAAAAAATGTTTGCTTTATGTGGAAAAACGTGAAACCTCCTTTATTATGTATTACCATAATAAAGGAACCATAAGCATTGTGGAGTTCTGCAGTGTAGTAGTTAGCATGCTCACCTCACAAGCGAGAGAACCCGGGTTCGATTCCCAGACAAAATCTTAGGCAAGTTTCCTCACTCCACACATCTCTGTTTACCAAGCAGTAAGTAGAAACTCAGTTGTTAGTCGATTGGCAGATTTTCCAGGGGTAATAAACCCTTCCAAAAAAAAATGTGGTCACTCAATCCATGACGGTTTGTGGGACATTGCTGTGCGCAATTAGCTGCCACGTTTCACCCACAGAATATACAGTCAATTCACTTTATATTATATTCTGTGAAGCGCTTTGAGACATCTCGAAGACATAAGGCGCTATATCATATGCAAAGATTATTATTACCATTGTCTGTGAAATCTATTTTACCTCAAACTGATGCTGGTCAAAGGCCATGAGTTTTATTGTCACGGAGCATGTGATAAAAGAACCCATGACTATGAGCATGTTACTGTCACCAGGTCAAGATGCTGTCACTGGACAAGTCGAGGGCCTGGCTGACATTGAGAGGAAGCACTTGGTGCGGAGAATTTTGCCTTCATGCAGTTTTTATACAACCAGACCTGCATGCTGAACAAACGCTGAATGCATGTTGCCCCAAATAATGTTGACCAAGAAGGTTGAGACTGGGGAGAATAGGGGATCCTTTCTGTCTAAGAGCAGTGTTTTCATCCATCTAAGCCTGTGCTTCAATCATTGTTGATTCATCTGTGTACTCTGTGTTCTAACCATAAGCAACCCAATTGACATCTGAAAGGTTGCTGCTTTGGAAACTGTGTTGGCCAATTGTTCAACTCTCAAATCAGCTCATTCCTTAAATATCCTCTGTAGTGAAGACATCCACCCCTTGCCTACTTAGGAGGGTGCTTTCAGGAATGTAGAGAGAGGAGGAGAGTGAGACTGTTGATCTTGTTCCACAATACTCCAGCTCTATTTATGAAAATAATTTCTAATATATTTTATCATCATTGTTCTAATTTTAATCTATTGCCTTTTAAAAATGCAAGAAAATAAAGCATTAAGCCCATTAGTTCTTTAAAAAATGTTAGTCCATCAGTCACAATGTAAACAATCAAAATTATAATAGTAAAATGAAAATCCTGTCTTCAATTGCAAGCATTTAGAAAACAAGATCTAAGCACTTGACAGTGCGAAGGGTTCGTAATTCAACTCATCAGCCCTAAGTTTCCCTTAGGATTCTATAGGGGTTGGTGGTGTGGGACATGGACATCTTGCAATTAAAGACAACTTTTCTCAGAATGGAGTTGAGAAGTGTTGTTTGGGCAGAGTTGAGGCAGCGTAGCTGTAATGATAATTGGGGGCACTAAAACTGGGTGAACAAAATTACATTTCCTTCATGTAATAAGCACAAAAATATCAGTCACCTAAAACAAGATATGAATTGTCTGAGAATTAGGGCATAAATCCCAAGAAATCTAGTTTATTCCTTTTTACCTGGGAAAGGGGAACAGTGGCAGTCTTGCCAACAGCAACAATTTATATCACTTGGGCCATAAAATGTAATTCAGTGACAACAAACTATTCAGTTGCCTTTATTTTAATCGGTGTAATAGATTTGTGCATATATGTAATGAAGGGCAAGATCACCGCTGACAAAAGTTACATTGACTGAGCTGAACAATGATAGCAAGAGCTTTTTAATGTATTGAATTATCATTAGTGTTACCGTTATTCATTTAACGCAGACCATACCATTTTTGCTCTTTCAAATCATTGATCTCTGACAGATTGTACTACATTAGGCTTTCTGCTTACTTAAAGTGTCCACCCTCTCAATACAGTATTTTGTTCGTGGTCCAGCTGGTATGATTCTGGCATTTTACTCTGTGTTGTCTGTGCTTTGACTCTGTTTTGCGCATGTTGATACATTCTATATCTAACGTTTGTCTTACTGGCCCCTGATTCTCATCTTCCAACCGCTGCTCGTGTCTGCACTAAATCTCTTCCTCCTCTCCCACTCCCCCACTCCCAGTACCAGCGAGGAGATAGTTATTTCCCTATGTTAGACTACAAGCAGATACAAATACAGATTAAGCTGCAGGCCTTGACTGGAGTCCTCCTGTGAGAGGGTCTTACCTCTAACCGCAGTGGCTGAGAAAGAGAGATATGGCTTTACCTGCCTCTAAAACAGTTGTGGACTAAAAACAGCATGAAATAGGCTATGTAGTTTTAACCGTCTCACCTTTCCTTTCAGCAGCTGTTGTCTCTTTATACCCTGTCACTTCTCCATTTATTGAATAACATTGCAACTCATGCAGTATCTCTTTTGGTGGCCTACCTTCTCAGCCATGGTTTTCAAAACTTGCCCTTTAATAGAGAGAGAGAGACGATCTCCTTGAAAACTAGTTTTGAGATATCCACAGCTCCTTTATTTTTGGTCAGCCAGGTACCTGACACATGCGGAAACCTGTCACCGTGCTTAAGAGTATCCAAACGGAGATGACAATTCCATGCATCCCACCTACACATGGAAATTCCAGAGATAGATTGTCGGAATGGAACCCACACTTTCTCCCTGGAGGGACGTATCCTGCTTACCTAATTCCGGAAGGTATTAGGCACAGATTGGCAAGAGCCAAGTCTTGGGGACCCCACAACTACCGATGAGGGAACAGATGTTTGTTCTTTCTCAGCTAGTCCATGCGATAAAGTAGTTTTCCATTCCAAGACGCTCCATCCAAGATGCACTGTTTCAACCTCTCTTTGATCATTACACCTTACTTTAATCATTGAAACAGCAATGATGATGCTTGTACAGTCCAAACTATTCATTTTCCTCGCATGGTGGACTGTGGCTCCTCTTAGGAAATGAAAATGTTGAAATTGGAGACAACAGAAAATGGTATAGAATCCAGTTAAACTACAGCTGTATTCCTGGGGGAGGTAAAATATGGCTGTTAGTGTTCAGGGTAGTGAAAACCATGGACATATTTATTTAGAAAAGGTTCAATGTAGGCCCAATGGAGAAAAAGATACTGCATTTCTAATTAGAAAACATAACTGCTTCAATTTTCCCAACATAGTCCAGTTTAATCTCTGTGAACTAACAATCATCAGGCGACATTGCAAAATATTTGGGAGACGCACCCAAATATCCGAGTGTACCAGCAGTGTCATGGCCACAGTCAGTGCCCCACGAGCTAGGAGCCAATGTAGATAAAGTATTGTTGCACCAAATAATCCCCATCAAGCTGTGGTGTGGTATTAGTGCTCAGGTACTGCAGTTAGTGCACCCACTCAAATCTAAATGGTCACTACATCATGACAATGCACTGTGTGTGATGAGAACTGAGGTTCTATTCATCCGTAAGAGATTCTCTTCACCCAACTTGTTTTATTTCAATGATAAGAATCCGGAAATCTCTGGTTTTATAATTTCTGTCCTTGATTTGTTTTCAATGGGATGTTTCAAACCCAAACTAATCTAACCATTTAACTCTATTCTGGTTCCCATAACCATGGGATCTAATGATCTCGTATGATGGAATAATTACTAATGATACAGCTTCACCAAAGCAAAATTCTGATGCCACCTTCTCGAGTACAAATTCAGATTTACAGCTAATTGATTGATCTGGATTTGCAATGACTAGTTGGTTCCCTCTTAACCCATCAGTTCAACCTGTTTCTCTGTGTGGTCAATCTAAGTAAAGCAGAACATCCGCAATACTATCGGAACATTAAACATTGCATGTGTCTGAGATTGCTGTATGTGAACAAATATAAGATCTATATCTATGTTCGTATTGTCCATATGTGCAAAGTCATCCTGTGTTGTCCTCCATTCCATGGGTGTTTGTTTAAGGCTGTTGCTGGAAAATGGTAATTTTTCATTGTGAATAGTTCTCAATATTGACACTCCAGTCCTTGGTTAATAAAGCCTCTGTTGTTTTGCTTGTGATCTAGAATTTCTCCAAAACATTCTCATCTTCAAAATTACTGTTAAATGAAAACTATAAATCACGCCTCCAGATTCAATAGATGTTAGGTGTCTTCTTGACAGTTTTCACGAGCCCTCAAATTCTTCCAACAGCCTTAGATATTCCATTTCCAAGGCCCATTTCTCAGCCTTTTAACTCTCACTTCAGCTTATCTCCTCAGCCCTAACACACCACCAATTCACGGTCATTTTCCCATGTCAAAGCACACAGTTTGCCTTAGCAATGATGGGAGGGAGGGCTTGGTAGGTAGTGAGCCTGCTGCTGCTCGAAGCTTGAAGAACCACTGTCTCCCCTGGTGCCTACCTTGGTCATTCCCCCAAATGATTGTCATTTTATTAGAAATAAAAAAAATACCCACAATGTGTTTACGGTGAGTGTGTTTCTTTGTGTGTGGACTAATGCTGTATTTCCACTGCACTGAATTGTATTTCATTCAACATTCTCATTCTTCACTATTTTTATTTTGCCATGTTTGTAATTTTAATTTGAACAGTTTTATCCTCAGTGTATTTGAAGCACATCTATTCCTTGTATCTCCCAACCATGGCCATATTTACTCAACCTTGATGAAGCACAAAAGCTGTGTTTTTTGTACACTTACATGTGGAGTCCTGTAGCTCAGTGGTTAGAGCACTCGCTTTGCAAGTGAGAGACCTTAGTTCAATTCCAGGCACAGGGCGAAACCTTGGGCAAGTTTCCTTACTCCACACGCCTAATAATAATCCCTCCAAAAACAATAATAAATTGGTCATTTTCAATCTACGATTGTTTGTGGGACATTGCTGTGCGCAATTGGCTGCCGTGTTCGCCCACAAATATACAATCAATTCACCTTACAGTGTGTTCTGTGAAGCGCTTTGGGACGTCCTCCCGACGTGAAAAGCGCAATATCAAATGCAAGGATTGTTATTTATTATTATTATGCATGCACACATACACACACTCACTAACCCACCCCATCAACAAAACTGGTGGCCTCACTCCCATACTTGCTTCTCCATCATCATCTAACCTGTCCCAAAACAACATTCTTTAAGGAGATGGCCAATATGAACCAGACCTGTGCTTGTTGGATACAGGAACAAAGTTGATCCTTGGTTTAGCATGGTGTAAGTCCAGGTCACAGTGAAGGTAAACAAAACCTAATCGACAAATAATACCTCAGAAGCCTGAACTCAGACAGTCAGTGCACTCGGGTACCTATAGCTGTTAGGACGTGGAGATATGTTCCCAGGATTCTGCCAAATCCTGCTCTATTAGTAGTCTCAGGAGATAAATGATGCTGCTCTCAGGAGACCTCCTGGAGTTTCCCCATGGGGAGTATCTGGTCTTTCTTTCTTGGTGTGTTTTTTTTATCCGACTCCCAATTGACCAGGTTTGTAACTTCTGGCAATGATCTAGTGGAGTAATCCGTGTTTTCAAAGAGGATTTATTTTCCGGAATCCGGTATTTGGTTCTTTCGAGCTTAGCTTATGGCGTTTGCATTTTTCCTGTTGTGGTTCTTCACTTTGCTTTTCAGTGTCACTTTCCTTTAAATGTACCTCTGTCTCTCACTACTGCTTCTCTGCACACTCCTCTCCTCACTCCAGTAACCTGACGAAGCACAGCACGGAAACCTCCGAGCCCAGGTAACACCATCTCTTTCTGCTTCTCCTCCTCTGCTTCTTCTCCTCTGCTTCACTTCACACTGATCTCTTACACTGTGAGGTTGTGAGTTTAGGGGGAGCAGTGAGTGCAGAAGTGGCTGTTTGTAGTGTAGGGCTATATCGGGGACATACAGTTGGACTTGCATCTTTCACTGTTGGCACTAACTTATATATGTTCTACCTTTTAAAATATTTTAAGTCAATCTCTGAAATAACATTTTCGAGAGTGAAAGTGGTACTACATGCTGCAGTCCAACTGCCTCCCTTTCCCCCTTCCAATCTCTGTGCTACACACAGAGTCATCAGTCATCAAGCTGGCTGGTGGGTATTTTCTCTAGGGTTTTTATGGACACTATTTTTGGCCTTGGCCTGACATTATTTTGGAGCAGCGTACTTTGCTTCAACCAGCAAGGATTCTCATCTTACTCAATAAATAGGAACTACGCATTTCTAGGATATTGCAATTAATACAAGGTAGTGAACAGTGAGGAGAAACCCATGGATAACTATTTGTATGATGGTAAATTAACATTTAAATAATTGTGTATTGAATTGGATACAAGTTCTGTAAGTGTTTATCTTAGAAACCAGTCAATCTGAAAAAAGTACTATGACAGTAATGAATATCCCATTGAAAATAATACCATTGATTACATAATCACTGTATGCCAGGACTCATAACATGCATTCGCTGACCTGACTCGCCAAGATCTGAGTTCTCTCTGAATGCTTGAGGGAAATCCTGGGAGATTTGGTGTCTGCAACTACAAATCTGATACCTTTTAAATTGCATTTCCATTGTTGGAATATTTTGTGTGTACTCGGTGGAATATTGGGAGTGAGAATTGCCTTTGTACTTATCAGTCCAGTGAGAAGGAAGGTCCATTGTTCCATGCTCCCTTGCTCATGCTGACCAGATTCCCTACAGCAAGTACTTGGCGTCCTGAGATTTGGTACAATTGCACCTCATACGTGTTCACCTGTTACAATGTGCCTGCAGTGAAGGTATGCATTTGCAGTTTAAAATCTACTCAATGGCAAGGAGTGTGCCAGCTCAAGGGACTAGATTCTCACCAGTAAGTTGATGTAGGTTGGTTTAAATGTTTTTAAGTGTTTTATATGGTGGCACATAATTGTTACATGAGTTATTCTTTCTTTCAGGGGTAACTAACTTGGGGGCATCGATGATTTTTTTCTGAGGGGTCAGCCAGTTGTCCGATTCTTGCAGAAACCCATCACCATGCTTAAGAGGTGATGGTGATTAGTTTCCGCATGTGTCAGACCTCCAGCTGACCCAAAAAAATTCATGGCATCCCATGATGGTGACTGTGCATATTGTATGCATTTCTTGGGAAGGAATGGGCTCGCTGACATGTTCTCATTCTGTTTCATTCCTACAATTCGCCTACAAAATACACAGTTGCTCCAATCTAGATTAAGTCCTGTGAAATGCTTTGAGATGTTTTGATGTTGTTATAAAGTACTATAATCAGATGTAATTTTTATTATTATCTTTACATGTTTCTCAGGACATGTTTCGGTAGGCAATGCATAAATTACATACGTAAAAGTGAGACGAATTAGTTAGCAAATGAGATGAGGAGAATTTTTTTCTTACACATTGTTAGGAATGCCCTGCTGGGAGCAATGGTTGAGGCAGAATCCAGCTTAGCTTTCGAAAGAGAACAAGATGAGAATCTAAAGAGGAGTAAACTGCAGGGGAATGAGGAAAAGGAACTCAAAGGATTGCTTTTTAAAAGAGCCAGCACAGGTTTGGTGTGGCTGTAAATTGCTATGGTTATACCAGCCCAAGCAATCTCTTCCTTTGCTGTGGAATAACAGAGTTGCCATGTATTACAATAGTATAAAGCTTGAGAAGGGATGGAGGCAGTAGAATGGGCAGGAGCCCATTTGGCGATTGTTCCTCTCCAGTCACAGTTGCTGAGCTGCTCTTCTTATTCCCAGTTTAGCTGTCGTTCTCTAAAATATGCCCTTTTGCCAGTCGTTTCATGCACAAATTATAGTCACTCCACTTTACAGTATATTCTGTGAAGCGCTTTGAGATGTCTCAAAGATGTGATAAGTCGCTATATCAAATGCAAGGATTATTATTATTATGTTCACACTGATCCAGCCCTCCAGCCTCTTTATACCTTATTTTTCCTCTGAACTTCTTGCCCTAACCCACTCCTATGCTCCATATTTTCTCCCTCTGACCATACCCCCTCCCCCTTTAACTCTTTGCCCCACCGCCACTGTGTGCCTGTCATCTGCTCCTGTCCCCTGACTCACCAGAATAGTGATTGCAGTTCTCAGTTGCTCGTTCCATACCACCATTCACTGTCAATCCTCCCACCACCATCCCTTTACATTACAGCTCACCCAAGCTTGGCACATTTGATTTCATCCTTGCAGAACAGCCACCCTACCATCTTGTCATCTAAACACTGGGAACCAAGTACTCACATTTTAAATCATGGTAAATAAAATAACAGTGGTAGGTCGGGGGGAGAGATAAAGGTCTTTATGTAAAAAGGCATCTGGGGAGAGAGAGAGGGTGTTTTTGCCTTCTTGGAAATACTGCGGCTAATTTAATTAGCTAAGTCTGGATTGTGTTATAAGGTAAGAAGATGCCAGCACAGCTGACTAACCTTCAGAGCCTCCATCACATTGTCTCAATAGTGAGAGTGAAATTGACGCCTTTCATGCTTTTTGTGCAACACAAAATGCAAATTTAAATTTATATTGGGCCTTTCACATCGGGAAAACATTCCAAGTCAGATGTCACCCGCTTTCCAGATTTTTCCAGTGAGCTATTTAAAATAAAACAACCTTCGCACCATCCCACCATTCCATGGACAGACCCCCCCCAACCCCCCCAAAAAAGTGGGGGTGGGGGGAAATTGTCATAAAATCTTAGATCAATGAAAGCTAAAATGCAGAGCAATTTTTTTTCCATTTTCATCAAACTGATTCACTGGGTCGGTCAGAAATACCAAGTAACAGATGGAAAGTATTAGAGTTTGGCTGCCAGCGAAATGCAGCACTTTACCTCCAGACTCAACCTTTCTCGGTTACAGGGAAGTGATTACTAAACCTGCAACGCAGTGGTTAGGGCAGTATTGTAAGAAACATGAAAGGAATTACAGCACAGAAGGAGTCCCCTCAGCTCCTCTTCCAGGCCATTCACCTTACCGTCTTCCCATCACAGCATTAAGCTTTTTGTTAAATACAGTAAACCCCATCTTACCAGCTAACTGGAATGCGACCCCAGGGTTGGAAAAGAAAAACTTTTTTTAAAAAGATCCAAAGCCAAAAATTTCCGCATTAACCTTTAACAACGTGTTTGATTTTATGTAAATGATTGCGACTAACTCTCAGTGCTGCACAGCACACTTTGCATTGTAGCTTTGTTGTGTAACTTTGTTCAACTTGCTAAAGTATTGACCCATTAATTGAGGTATCTGAAGCATCTGTGGACCAAAGCTGCTGTGGTACTGGGGAAGAATGTCCACCTGCAGGTTTGGTTTGTCCAACGACATTATTTCCTCTGTCATCACCAATCAAAAAAACAAGTAAGGTTGAGGACTCTTGTTCCACTTGGGTTAGGATTCCTGTAGTTGATATCCATCGCTTCATAGAATCATAGAATCTTTCGGCACAGAAGGAGGCCATTCAGCTGTGCTGGCTCTTTGAAAGAGCTATCCAATTAGTCCCACTCCCCTGCTCTTTCCCCATAGCCCTGCAATTTTTTTCTTTTCAAGTATATCTTTAATTCCCCTTTGAAAAGTCAATTGCGGTCCACAGTACCTTTCTTCCCTCTCTTCACTGTAGTTGTGAAGATACCCTTTCTTCAGGCCCTTTTCTTTGACCATTGGATTCTTAATGCCCACTCTCTATACAGTTGCTTTGGTTGCCGAAAATAATGGATGTTTAGAATTCTATTGCTGTGCCAGTATAGGTTCCAAGCTCGCTGGAAAATTTTATCAGACGCGACGAGTAAAACTCTTTAACAAATTGTTTTTTCCTCTTCTTTTTCTGTAATGTGGATTAGTACTCCTATTGAGCATGCTCAGTCAGCTTCGTCAGCATCCAGCCCTGCCAATGTCGCTATGCCTGTCGCTTCGGCCAGTCCGCCTGCTGCCGCCACTAACATGATGCCCACGCCGCTGCCTGCTGTCGTCAATCAAGAGCCTTCTGCCTCTCCGGTGGCTGCCTTTCCAGTGACAGCTGCTCCACTGTTTCCTGCTGCAATGTCTCCTGCCCCAATAAGGTATTGCATCTTCTGCAAGGAAGAGTCCTCATGTGCATTTGCAGATATTCAGGTTAGACAGTGCTTGCTTCAAAGAGATGTTAGCTCTTCGGAGGGAGACCTGAGAGGATCCATGCTGTTATCTCATTCTATGTATAGAGCTGCATGCATGAGAAATGTCTAACTGTGTACATTGGGCATGATGTATGTACTTTCATGTTCTCAATTTCAGGCCATTCTGAATTAGGAGAAAGAGCTCCATTAATTCTGCTTGGGTTTTTATGATGTTTTTGGAGTGGAATGTTGGTTGAACAACTTGAACAACGAACCATTTTTTTTGCCAAACAAGGTGTAAGGTGTGGCCAGCAACCTGTGTCTGAGTCCAAACATTCACACACCTCTGCAAAGGGTGGTGAGCTTACAATTTTCAGTGGGTGAGAACAGGATCTTGGTGATATGAGTTTGTGTAAGTTCCCACACTGCCAAATCACAAGTTTACCAATCCTCATCGAGTCACCTGTAATAAATCCTGATACAATGATCTTGGGCATAAATGCCTATAATTTCTAAGACATGGGTAACACACCTGTTTATTAAAAGCACTATGTTCCTTAATACTTAAGTTCTGTTCCTTTATGTTGTATGTTGTCACTTCACTTGTGGCATATCCGATCAATAATCAGTTTCAGTGATTTCAGGATCTGCCTGAAATTACTGCATTTATTTGCTGAATTATTTGAATTTGTCTTTTTTGTTATTTGTTTGAAGAGAAACCCTGTACCCCTGTACCCCTTTCTACCCCTGTAGAAATGAACACTTTCTTGTTTCACCGGTGTTAGCGAAAACTCTTTAAGTTTAGAGTTCTTAGGATTCAGATAGTGGAAACTGATGTGAAACCTTCTGTTATCTTGCTATTATCCCGTTCATTCTATCTAATCAAACACCATAATCCTTCACCCTCAATGCTTGCATAGTGGTACTGTCTCGCGCTATTCATTTAGGTTATACTCTTGCTTGCTTAAGTAGCCAGACTGGAAGTTTGGCATGCTTTTCATGGTAGACTGGTAGTTTTTACTGAACTAAGGTCCTGCCTTGAGTCATACTTTGGGAAATGTACTAATGTGCAGTTATGATATGGATAATGAAAATTCAAGATTTCAAAGAAAGCTTTGGAGATGTATCTAAATTTCTGCTGCTCAGTTATCCTTAACAGAGACCATATGATCAATCAATAGGAATGGTTCAATTTCCATTATGGTATCCCAACTAACAGCAATAGCCACATGCAAAATTAATAATCTGTAAGAAATATTGGGTGACGTAGACCAACAACAACAATTTGGATTTATATAGCGCCCTCCATGCCGGGCAGCGTCTCAGAGCGCTTTACAGTAATGGATCCCGGGACCACTAACATTTACACAATAGGGGATATATCACAGCACTCTTAGGGATCAGAGTTTCTGTGACTAATTTAGTCCTAGCCTGGAGAGTACCTAAACTTTCCCAATACTTGGCTGCGTAGGACTAACATAAGTTGACATTAATGATTGTTGTGGCTGCAGTGTTTGTGGGATCTCTCTACCTGTTGAACAGAACCAGTCGTTCAAGCAGATGTTCAGCCTTGTGTCAATCACGCCAACCCATAATACTAATACTATTAGTACTACTAATAATAATAATCTAAAAGCAGCTAAAAACTCCATATAGGACAGAGAGGTTCCACTAAACGTAATGGTTACCTGATTTCTTTAAATTAAAAATTCTACAATTTGAGATCACGATTCAAGCAACCGCTTGAATAGATTTTTGTTGACACCCCTGAAATGGAGAAATTACAGTAATTATTTCCACTAGGAGAGCCTACAGAATTCTTCATAGCTCATCAGTGTTAACTGTGACAGAATACACACAGTCACAGTGTATCAATACCTTTCCTGTGAAGTGCTTTGATGCATCACGACGACATAAGGCGCTATATCAAATGAGAGGTTGTTATTATATTGTTAGTCTTATTATTTAATGAACGACTGCAAGGGTGGACTCTCCAGTGCACCTCAATCTGCAAACCCCTAGTTAAACGCTCGTCTTTCAGTTTATCGTTGTTATTTAGATACTGCCTGTCAACAGCTTTGTCTTTTCCTGTCTTGTCTTCACAGCAGCTGCCTTGAAGCCTCTATAATGCGCTGCTTCTCCCTTCCATTTCACTGCCATGCCTCTTGCACGTCATTTAGGTTCTGTCAGACTGGCAGGAAAATCATAGAAAATAATCTCCAACAAACGAGAGAGCGCTGTGAATAGTTTCTGAAACTGCAGAATGCCATAATCTGACTGTATCAGGAATCAACATGGAAAGTGAATGCACTCTGGATACATCTGCGCTCTCCTAGCTGCTCTGGAACATGAGCTAGTGGCACTTATAAATGGGTTACAAATTGCAAAACGATGAAGGGGTGGGTGCCCAAAACCACGTGCATGGTGCAGGTTTTATAATGCCTCACAGCTCGTCAAAGCACTCTTTAACCCATGCCCATTATTCAGTGTTCGTTTCAGTAATAATCTGGTCTGGCAGATGTCTGCTGCTGTGTTCAGCTGTTTGTCACTGTGTGTTGATGCTTTACTTCTCTCTCTGTGCTCTGTGTCCTCTTCAGAGTGGCTACACCTTCCATTGCTCCGCCCATGCAGCCTGGAATGCTTGCTGGCTCCAGGACCACATCCCTGGCTGCTGCCACTGTCTCTGCTGCTATTTCTGCCCAAACTAGGTACATCCATCTCTCTCCATATTCTCTACATCTGTCTGTGTAGATCTAGTTTGCATCATGCTGCTGCAGAAAGGGGTTTATTCAGACACTAAACATAGAAAGTCCGGAGAAGAAACTGCTTTGGTGGGCTGCATACCACCTAAGTACGACTCCCTCCCACCCCCAGGAGAATGCAGGAGTTTCCTGGTTTGCAGCTATGCTTCGCCCATGCCCTGGAAAATTCCCAGAAATCTTACAAAGTCTAGGATCAATTTCACAAACTTTCCAAGTCTCCTTGGGTCCAGATGGGGAATAAACATGCCAATGGGCAATTGATCCAAAACATCCCAACTTCCCCTGCAGTTGATTCCTGTAAATGTATTATAAAACATGAGCTCCTTACCATTAGCGAGACAGCTTGGCTAGTCTGCGTTGTAAGTTACTGCACAGATCCTATTTTGCTGAGTGCTTGTTGGCACTCCTAAATATTTCACTGTTAAACTACATGTTAATTCTTTTTAACTGTACTGAAATGGCTTGATGCCTGAAACATTCTGAATTAATGACCTAAATTTGCACTGGAAAATGTTTGGCTCCATTGTGCTCTCCAACAAAATGGCACTAAGTTGGCAATGCTCACTCCGAGAGACCACGAGGATTTGCTGAGATTGGAAATTAAATATTCCACTAGTGCAGCGCGGATGAACATGGCATTGAGGAATGTTTAAATTAAAAGTGTTTCATCATGTACCTGATTTGGAAATGCTTGATGGGACAACATACCATTACTCTGTTTTAACGAAACAAAACCTGACCCAGTAGTGCTGAATGGGATCACGTGAAGGGAGTTTTACTCTGTAACTTTCAATCTAACTCGTGCTGTCCTGAGAATGCTGCATAGACAGTGTAAAAGGAACTTTCATTCTAACTAACCCATGCTTTAGGTAACCTGGGAGAGCTGGATGGCTATACTGTTTTGGTAAGAATTATATAAATAGTCTAACAGAAAGGGATGGTCCTTCAGTAACAGCCCAGTGTGACAGATGTCTGACTGATTAGTTTTCTCTTCATTAATGCAGGAAAGGTGAGTGCAACTGTCGTCCTTGTTTTCTTTCCCATCACTCCTCCCAAGTTGGTTAACATAAACCAAAGATTACACTTATTCACTGCTTCTCTCAGGCACATATTTATTCTCCTCTGAATTGCTCAATATCATAAAAAGAAGTTTAAATTGTCCTCGACTTGATTATGCTTGGTGAGCTACACCTTTCAACCAACATCAGTTGACCATAAGGTGCTCTTTTAACTGCTCAGTCCCTTATATGATGACTTTCACTTTAGGATTAATACCAATGTTATCGCGTGTTGCTTTTCTCTTCTATGTTTCACAGACGGAGGCCAGAGTAAAACAACACAACCAAGTCATCACATAAGGGTTGTCAGGAATGCTTGTAAATTATAAGGCTGACATTAACTAGACAGCAGTACATGTTTAAAAGCAATACTAGAGGAACAGTTGTTAGCCTGAGGAGAAAAAGCTACGCTTGCAAACATCGAAAGGGAACTATCTTGAGTGGAAGCGACTAAAGGAGATAATTGCTGTTTGGGCGTAATTTAAACCACTAATCCCATGATCACATTACACATTTAAAACGCTCCAAAGGAAGCGATGCTACTTTTTGTGCTAAAGGCCTTTAGTCTGGGTTTACAAAAGCGATTTTCTTTTCACCCTTTTTTTTTGGAGGTGAAAGTGAAACCTGCTTGGAAAAGTAAATAATACAACAACAACAACAACAACAAGATTCCATTTATAAAGCGCCTTTCACGTCAGGAGGACGTCGCAACCATTTCTAGGTTTTATTGCGAGTATTTCGACCACAAAATATACAGTCAATTCACTTTACAGTATATTCTGTGAAGCACTTTGAGACGTCTGAACGACGCTACATCAAATGTGAGGATTACTAATATTATTATAATATGCAAATGACTCCACTGAGCTGTCAGGCCAAGGACATAACAGTTTTTGGCTCACCCCACCACCAGAACAAAAGTGAGGGGAGATTTTTACGCTTGTCTTGTATCGAGCAGCTTTTGGTACTATTGTAACTGATTTTTCTGGTACAAAGTAATGTTTGCTTTTCATTGGTTGGTAAAAATTTAAAGAAAAAAAATTGTTCACTCAACCTACGACTGTTTGTGGAACACTGCTGTGCATAATTAGCTGCCATGTTTCGCCCACAAAACATAGTCGATTCACTTTACAGTATATTTTGTGATGAGCTTCGCGACGTCTCAGCGACGTGATAAGGCATTATATCAAATGCCAGGATTATTATTAGATTCATCCCTGAACCATTGTGGATTCTAGCTGTATAATCTGGATCCTCTCTTACTCGATGGGCAGGTGAGGTGTGAAAGAAATAATTTGATCGTTTTCACAATGTTTGTTTTTAATCCTTTGTGGGGTAGATCCGGTGTCAGCCTACCCAAACCAACGACTGCCTTGGAGGCGATTCGTATCACTCCCATCATCAACTCACCATCCTTACCCAAACGAACCAGGGCTAGTTCTGTTCCTCTGGGGAAATCAAACGTGAGGTACCGCAGTTCAATAGAAACTAACCCTGCCACACATACCCACATGTGCAGAACATATACGGATAAACCTGAACTTCTAAATCCACGGGCAACCCTAGAAATATATTACTATTTTAAAAAGACATGAGGTACATAGCATATAAATTGCACAGTGAAACCAAATATGTGTGAACTAAGGTGTTGCAGATATATTTCAAGTTTGTGCACTGAGGACATATTTGGTGGGAGGGATCCTATTTTTAATTAAACATACACAGCCAATCTCCCACTAAAGGGAGCATTACATGGTCAGGAGTCCTCTTTATCCAACCAGTAGGACATGCGGAAGAGCAACTTAGGTTGACCGCACCCTCATGGTTCTTTTTTGCCTACAAATACACAGTCACACCGTTTCACAGTAATTCCTGTGAAGTGCTTTGAGACATCTTCACAACTTGATAAGGCGCTATACCAAATACAAGTATTATTATTATTCTTTCCCTCCCTGTAGGCAGCCTCAGCTTCAGCATGATCTAGGCTTTGTCTGTATGAGCTCACTATGCAGGCAATAGCACAAGGGATTTGATAAACACACACACACACATATTCACACATATCCTCCACTCCTGGTCTAGGTCACTGACGTGTCAAAGTGCTGCCAACATGCTTGCATTCAACTTCCATTGAAATTTTCCTCAGAGGAGTTAACATGTCTACTTATTGAACAATACGAAGGGCTAAATCACACAGAGTCAATTAGCTTGATTAAAATGAAGACAGATACTTGGGAAGTGAGGGAATTCTGTCTCAATATACCATTCTGAGTTCTAATACATGATGCATGGAATTAACCCAAATTTGACCGCACAGTGACAAACCCTTTAGATCACAAAGAAGTCTTAATAAGCACAATGGCACATATAAATTAATCGGAATCCCGACTGGTGACACTGCAATACTGGAGATAGAATATAGGAAACCAATTATTTTCATGAGCACTGAACAGTAAAGGTCCATTTTACAACCAGATGGCTATTATAACTGTACAGTGCCATTGTCTGCTATGTTCTCTAGAAGTATGAGTTTCCAATCTTTCAAGGATGTGCTGTGAATGATACTGCAGAGCATAGCGTATACAAAATGTATGCTCCATGGAGCTGGGCACTCACGAACTTGGTGGTTGGCCACAGTTGCAACAAGTGACTTGCCTGAAGGCCACTTTCACAAACCCAAAGTAGACGAGTTTCATGCACTTGTTTTGGCAATACTATATTTGCCCTCTGCGCATAGTTAAAAGGAAAATAGAAACAAAAAGTATTGGCTACTCGTTCTCAGCAACAAGCGGCTACAAAAGCTTCCATACTACTTTTCAGTGCTCAAAAATATTTGTGCCCAACGAGCCCTGAATGATCCAGTCGCAGATACCTCGAAATATGACTGAAGAAGGGGACAGAATCACGACTAGGGAATATGGCAGTAGGATCTGCGGACCACATACTAAGTACCTTTGCTGCACAGTACTTTACAATGGCCTAATCTCCCTGTCACGGTGTTGAAAATTAATCCATATATCTGCAACACAGTTTACCTATAAATTGTTACACATTCTAAGATCCTTCGCTGCTAGATTTGTAGGGTTTTATTTGAAGATTTCAGTAATTCTTTATTTGGAGATATATTTCAGGGTGCTACTATTTTGCAAGTTTAGAAAGGTTTATATCTCCATCCTATCTCCATGTGGACAGTGTGACAGCAATTCCATAACTCCTTTGCCTAATTTTCACATGTAATCCCTAAACCATCAATTCAGTAATCTCTCCCACTCTGGGAAGGTTTTGTATTTTTCTGTGTTAGCAGTAACCGAGTTACCATAACATGCTCATAATCGAATTGCTTAATCCTCAGTGCCACTAATTGTCTTTCCAAATACTCTCTTTTTCACGGTAATCTGTGCCGAATCTAATTGTAGAATCTAATTATTAGACACCGTCCTTTTGTGTGCTTTTTACCAAAGTTTACCAAAGTGCCATCGTCACTTGCTTTTGCCAAATTTCTTGAAACAGCAACATTGGTTTGGGTTTTAAGCCAGTCCAAATGGATCAAGTAGATGAACCAGTTGGTCTGTCTCAGGTTTGGATGGTGCAGTGCACTAGAACATAATATCAATCCACGTTTCAAGCAGACGGAGTGAATGAGTGTCTCTTCTCCAATGAGTTTTGTGTCATTGTGACATAGAGTAAGGTTCTTTTGTTTCTTGTGCCTGAGTTCAAATTCATCCCTGGACAGAGATGTTAAAAATCTCTTCTCTAGGAATAGGAAATGAATGGTGTTACGTGAAAAGAACAGTGTTCTTTCACATTTGGAATATGGATTGAACTACAAACCAGATGATATGCTTACAGTCCACTCAGTTCCCAGTGGATGTGAGTCCACAAAGTATCCATTACATGCTGTAGTAATTCCAAAGCAAACACTTGAAAAAGTGAAAAAGGATAGAAAAAGTGAAATGTCAGACGTATATTGTGGCCCTGGTGGAGGTGTTTGCTGAAAAGGCATCAGCAAGACCTGAAATTCAACAGACTGATCGTTACCTGAGTCTAGAGTCTATTTGCTCACATTGATCATAGAGTAAAAGGAAGAAAATATTCCAGGTCCACTTCCTTTCTCCATTTTTAATTCAAGGTTTTATTTATTGCTGAGAACTAAAAGGGTAACCTGGACAGTTGTGCTCAAATTAAGCTACATAGTGATGTTGTGTGCTATCCCGTCTGTATAATAATACATGAGAAGTGCAAAGAATGTGTTCCTTGGTTTAAGACATTGTTTTCGAAAATGCTGAAATAACTGGAGTTGAATTGTTGAAAGTCCGTAATGTATCCGAGGTGCAGTAATCTAGTATCACCTCCTTTGAGAAGGTAGCATGTGTATGTATTCTTCTTATCATCCCGAGAAGGTAATAACACTGCTTCGTTGCTTTTCGTTGCAAGTATTTTGTCAGCTTTCTCTTCTAATCTCTTTTAATTCACAGTGTACTTCAGAACCCCCAAAACAGGCAGAACCTCCTGGTCTCGGACATCTACGTTCTTTTCTGGAGATCTAGAACTATGGAAAGCAGATTAAACCCTTTGGTCTCATCTTAGGCAGTAGTAAGGATGCTACACTGTGTTTGAATACCCTTGGTTAGGAAGGGGATTAAATAATAGTTCCCCTCCTGATTGTTACTGGGACAGTGATTGGAAGCCACAAATGTAGTGATAAAAGAATTGAATAGCTTCATGAAATGAAAAGGAAAAAATTGGCGGCGAGGGAGAGGAAATGTATATTCAGACTGAAGTGTAAAAAGTTATTACACAGCATCATTGAGAAGAATATTACTCGTTGACTTCAGTGCAGATTAACTGACCACTTGTTGAGTTCTGGCTAGTTATAACATTTAGGCAAATCTGAGAGAGCTGTTATAGTTCTGTATAAGATGGCATTTGCATTTAAAAGCCCTTGCCGGATTTTGTCTGTGAATGGGTGAGTAACTGCAGTGCTCTCTGAAGTTTGAATATATTGCATGAAAGAAAATGAGTGGAAGTTTAACACCACAAGGGAGAAACCAAGCATCATTGCTCTTCATGTATTGTGCTGGGAGGAGAGAGGGAGGGGGGGGTCTATTCTTTCTTTGTTGTTCAATGCATTTTGTCTCCTTTTAGCTACAACTGGCAGCAGAAGACTTCATCTTCTTTCAACTACCAGTCTCAGTCAGCATACACTGCCAATATTAGGTATCTGCTTGAGTTCTGTTACTGAATCACTAGAGATTCTTAACACAGACCACTAATGCTACAAATAGTGTGGCTCTGCTATATTAACCAGTCAATATGTAGTCACATCCTCATAAAAATGATTCACATTTGCCATCTAAAATCTCAGCTTAGGTCGTATGTTGCAAATTCCTCTTAGTTAGTAGATGGTGTTCCTGTTTGTTCAAGTGTTTCTCCCCCATCTCATCACTTCCTCTCCCCGATCTACCAACCTATTCCTATTCTCCTTTCATCACCATCCAGCTATTCTATCTTCTCCTTCCTCCCTCCAGTCTGTTCGGGTCTAAAAAGATTCAAAATCATTCCCAAACTAAACGATTGTAAAATATTCATGTATATCTTGTTGCCCTCTAACAAATCCTCAAAATAAGGTTGCGGTTTGTTCTGTCCGTGGATAGTGTGATTTGTTGGCTTAATTTTAACCTAATTGAGTTAATATTGATCGGAAACGCCTTTAAAAATAAAAAGCACCTAACCCTCTGGTAACACTAAATACTTTGATCCTCATCTCGTTTTTCGGAGCTGGAGCTTTACAGATTGCCAGCCAGATCATTGGCACTTCTAAAACACTGGAAAGAAAAGCTACACAGTCTTGATCATGCAGAAATGGCATCGCTGAGAAGAGATAACTCTCCATTCTCTGTGCTGAAATAGTCGTAATGGGGCTGATCTTACCTAATTGTAGGGATAGTAAAGGATGTGGAAATCTGAAGTCCGATGCAAATGTAGAAGGAAACAAAATCATAATATACATTGATTGGGCTCAAGTCTGAAAACCAATACAATGTTTTAAACACTAAGGAGATTTATTTGGGTCAGACAAGAGTGTCTGATGCCTGCAGAAACCCATCACCATTCTTAAGGGTATCCAAACCAAACTGAGAATTCCATGCTTCCCACCAACACTTGGAAATTCCAGAGATAAGGAACGTAAAGCTAAGGAGGAGGGTACAGTTCAATATGGAAAGCTCAGTGAAGTACATCAAACCCCAGCACCCACCATCCTTTGTTTTTTAAATGTTTTCATCTCTCAGAGTGTTTAGTTCACGCTGCTTGAGGAAATGCTCACATCCACAACTAATCAAATATTTTGGTTCCGATTTCCTTTTAAAAAAAACGGAATCACATCATTTCCTGCTGCTTATCTTTTTAAGGCTCCTCAGTGCATTTTTCTTTCTGAGTTTAATGAAGATTGAACTTTGAGCTGTGCACATCTCCATAATTAAACAATAAAGTTTTAAAATTGTTTTCAGAGTGGATCAACTCTCAGGTCCTTCAACAAGCAGGAGTAAATCATTCAGTTACTACCGGCACCAAATAGGGTCTCAACAGTGAGGGACTATAACCTTAACTTACACTTAGAAACGTCTGCCCTGATACCAGAATGATTGCAATTCTCACTCATTTACCACTGTTCCCCTACAAAATACACAGTCCCGACATTTTACTCTGAAGGACTTTGAGACATCCTCCTGACGTGAAAGTCGCCATATCAAACGCAAAGATTATTATTTGCACAAACAGTAACCTTGCAGTGAACTCCATTTGGATGCAGAGGAGAAGGTTTAATTGTCCAGCTATCCAAAAGCTTACTCACTGGCTAACACCGACAAATGCAGTCTAGGTTATCTCACCTTCACCTCTGAACGGAGGTAGGAAATCTAACACAAAGACAAAATTTAGAGAATTGACACATATATTTATACCATATCTCACAGTGATGAGGTGAATGATCAATTATTTCTTTAGATACCTGGGTGAGGGATAGCAATGGACAGGACACCAGAGAACCCCCAGTTCTTCTTTGAAATGGCATCTTGTATCTTCAATATCCACCAGTTAACGTAATTTCAAAAACAGCATCTCCAACAATGCACCAGCCTTATCAGTACTGTCAGCCTAGCTCAAATCCTAGTCTGCGTCTTGAAACCTCTGATCCAAAGCTAGGAATGATACTAGTTACGACTTAAAAGTAAGTACAAATGAGCTCCATCTGAAAGCTTCAGATTAGACCAGTGAGGAGAGAACACTGGACCCCACCTACCTCCAATGAAGCAATTGAAAGGCAAATATTGATCATGATTTATTTCTGCTGCTGTTACAACTTATTATATTTTGCTGCTTTTAGGAAGACTATTTGATGAATCAGTAATTCTACAAAAGCATTTCGATGTATTGATACAGTTGCTCGTGAGTTAAAACATCTGCCCACTTGTTGAACATCTGTGACATTCGTGTCTTTGTTGATTCAAGGACTGTGAAATCAGACGCCACAGAAGTCAGCACTATTCCTCGCAGATGTGCATACTTTCCAAACCACATGGATTTCACAAACTTGCCTGTAGCATTCCATTTCAAGGCTAATCACTTAATCCCATTTATTTACAAACTTGCTCTCTGTTAATTTTCCCAGTGAAGGCTTTGCCAGCAGTGGCGCCATCGTGACAAGCCCACCGAAGCTTCCGCCTTCAGTGCCTTACCCAGGCCCGGCTGCTGCTCCTTCTCCTACACCAAAGGTTGTCAGCACAGCAAGCATCAGGCCTGCAACCTACCAGCCAATCGCAGGTAATGAGAGCATTAACAACAATAATAATAATAATCTTGCATTTGATATAGTGTCTTATCACAACTTCAAAACGTCTCAAAGCGCTTCACAGAATATACTGTAAAATGGAGTGACTTTGCATTTTGTTGGTGAAACATTAAAACAGTCCTTGTCCTGAATGAGGGAGGGGATTAGCTGGGGGATCCATATAAAGGCTGAGGGGTTCTCAATGGGGTGTTGTAGCACATTGTTTAAGTTGGTACTGAATCTCTCTTTTAAACTGTATCATTGCATCCCTAACTGTTTGGGTAATTAGGTTGCCAAAGCCAGTTTAGAGAACTTGTTTAAAGAGGATGTTCCAAAGCACAGGCTGCAGAACTCTGAATGATTATGGATCTTGTGGAGCTGGATGCAATCCTCCTGGGAGAGAGTGTGCATTCCACTCCAATAAATATCTTCGGAATTTCCATGTGTAGGCGGGATGCATGGAATTCTCAGTTTGGTTTGGATACTCAGGCATGGTGAAGGGTTTCCGCATGTGTCAGACACCTGCTGACCAAAAAAAAAAAGAGCTGGAGAAGCTGGCAAGCAGAGAATTGGAAGAATCAAGTCTGGAGGAGGGTTTTGAGTGCCTTGGGGGTGAGGTAGCAGCAGGGGCTGGGCAATTTTGCAGGTGAAAGAAAGCGAACTCGGTCAGAGCGAGCCCGGATGAAAATTCTGAAGGGGAGTTGAAGGTGAAACAAAATGTCAATGTTCTGCGCAGGCTCCGTGAGTAGGAGTGAATTAGTGACCCCGCGAGGCCAATGCAGTCGGTGCCGGAGGTGGGGAAAGAGCTTCAGTTTGTCAATGTAGAATTTGAGAGTGAAATGTATGACCAGGGCTTGATATCCTTGTGCCTAAACTGCCTGAACCATGGATGCAATGTGCTTTATGCCTGCGCTTCACAATTTGGCCAGAGGGTGGCATCCAAGAGCCATGTCTTTCAACCACACTGCCCCATTGTCCGCTGCACCACAGCCCCAACCCTGAGCCGCTCACTCACTGCAGAGTCTGAGTGGTAACAGTCGCCTGATTATCTTTGCGGGATTGAGTGATGTTAAAATCCTGACAAATCAGTAAGTTGTTGTGTTTTTTTTTAACCCAGTGAATAGCTTAAGACGTACAAGGCTAAATACTCTGTTCAGGGTCGCATCTTGGCAATGCAAGACTGTGATGAGAAACAACAACAGCAACAACTTGCATTTGTATAGCGTCCCTCGCGCAGGGTAGGCTCCCAAAGCACTTTACAGTGGCGGAGCAGGACTCCAAGCTGGGAAGTGGGTGGGGGGGGGGGGGGGTGATTCCCATTGATGGCCAACATCACCAAAGGCCATACACGTAATGTTTGATGGAATTTTTACCCCACAGACGGGAAGATACCAGTGACAATGACAATCTGTGCTGAGTTGACTAATCCCACTGAGGCTGCAGTAGGGATTGGAGACCTAAGCTCCGCTGCCAATACTGGCCTAGCTAGGCTCAAGCATGAATAAAAGGCACCTGGCAAATATTTTGGAGTTGGTGTAAATGGAGGGAGGGACTGTGATTTGTTTTTGCTGCTTATTCCACGATACCTTTTTAAATCCAGGACATGTTCTGGATGAGACATTAAACCAAGGTCCTGTCTGCCCTGTTCAGGTGGATGTTAAAGATCACATGGGGCTATTCAAAAAGAGCAGGGAGTTTCTCATGGTGTCCTGGCCAACAATTTCCTAGATAAAATTAGTCATTCGTTTTATGGCTGTTTGTGGGACATTGCTGTGCTTAAATTGGCTGCCGCATTGGCATATAAAATACACAGCCATTAGCATACTTTACAGCCATGAATATAGTGTGAAGTACTTTGAGAAGACCTCCCGACGTGAAAGGCACTATATCAAATGCAAGAAATTATTATCTAACTCTCCCCCCACCCCTCAGCTCCCACTCGCAGCACAGGTGCCCAGCCAGTGCTGTTCAGTGCTTTGGAACATCCTCCTGACGTGAAAGCTGCAGCCTTCATTCGGGCATTCAGCCTTTTTGCCCCAACCCTTTGGTACTCCATCCGACAGTCCCTTCACCTCACCCACTCCTTTGCCACCTTCAAGGCATGTCTCGAGAGCTTCCTCTTCGACCGCGCCTTCGGTCACCCTCCTACCCCCAGCCCCCCTGCCCTCCACCCCCTCCTGATCCCACCCCTCAGTTCGAGTACACATTCTTGACCTTCCAGCGCTTTAGGACATCCACCCTATGTGAAAAGTGCTACTCAAATACAATTTGTTATTGCTATATACATGTAAATTTGTATTGTATTATTAGTTGGAAGCCTGATCTTACGTCCTCTTTGTTTATGGAATAATCTTTCACCATGTTGGTAAGAGATAACACCCTAAGTTCATTGTTGCTCTGTTATTTTCCTTTCATTTTCTTCAGAGCCTATGCATAGCAGCACTGTGACTTTCAGTGTTCCTCAGCCAGCTCCAGCAATGCAGGCTGCTGCCCCCGCTTCCTCTAATCGACCACCATGGATAACCGATGACAGTTTCGCACAGAAATTCCAGCCTGGCAAAAGCACGACAGCCCTCACCAAACACGTTCAACCTCTACCACATTCAGCACCGCCAAAGGCACCAATCGTGCCCCAGATACCTGCCCCAGGTCCTCCTCATGCTCCTATGCCAGGGCAGAGTCCTGGAGGTGTTCGCAATATTATTCAAAGAGCAGAGAGATTCCCTGCCAGCAGCAGGACTGCTCTTTGTGGACAGTGTAACGGTATCATCAGGTAAGGACCCTTTATCTATCATACCATCACTCAGCTTTGTGTGATGGAAAAAACAACTGAAGTGCTTTTATTGCACATGCATATCTTGCTACACACCCTCCCGACCTGCTGAAGATAAGCTGAACAAAGGCAAGCTGCCAAGCTTGTGGTCAGTGTATTTTTTGGGGGTCTTGACACATGCAGAAACCCATCACTATGCTTAAGAGTATCCAAACTAAACTAAGAATTCCGTGCTTCCCATCTACACATGGAAATTCCAGAGATAGATTGTAGGAATGAAATGAGCGCTCTCTCCCTGGCCAATGTAGTTCTGTGATCAAACAGTCAAAAAGACCATTGTGGCAAATCCGATGTGATGAATTTTTCTCCACTAGAAAATTGGAATTGGGTCAACTCTGAGTCGGACCCATCCAGCAGTCCAATGGCCACTACCTGCACTTGTCCGTTCTGTCAACCTGACTCAGTTGGTAGTACTCTCATCTCTGAATCAGAAAGTTGTGGGTTCAAATCCCACATCAGGACTTGCAACTCACAGTCCAGGTTGCCACTCCAATGGGATGTTGGGGGAGGCACTGCATTGTTGCACGTACCATCCTTCAGATGAGGTGTTAAAACCAAGGACCCATCTGTCTGTTAGGTGAACGTTAAAGATCCCATGACATTATTCAAAAAGAGAAGAGAATTACTCCCAGTGTCTTGGCCAAACATCGTCTAATCAAATTTGGTCATTCAGTTCGTGATCATTCGTGAAGCATAGCGATATGCAAATTGTCTGTGCTTACAAATACACCATCATTATACTTCAAGGTAAAAAAAATCCTGTAAAGTGCCTTGAGACACCTTGACAGTGTGATAAGATGCTGAATGGGCAATGGATAATGTTGAGCATTTTTGACACATATTGACTTTATACTCTTTTTGACTCTGTCTCCAGAGGTCCTTTCCTTGTGGCCTTGGGCCGCTCCTGGCATCCAGAGGAGTTTAATTGTGCTTACTGCAAAACTTCACTGGCTGATACTGGATTTGCAGAAGAGCAAAACAGCATTTACTGTGAAGGATGCTACGCACAGTTCTTTGCTCCAAATTGTGCCAAGTGTAGTGCAAAGATTATGGGGGTAAGTGAAAGTAGGGAGGACAAGGACAACCATTTCAAGACCATTCAGGTAGAAGGAAAGGAAGTGTCTCAATGAGAGAGGGCATAATCAGACAATGCTGATCCATGGTTGTTGAAGGAAAGTGGGTATGGCAGTGGTTGCCTATGGTGAAATAGTTTGCCAGCTCACACTGGAAGAATGGCCACTTGGGGTAGGTCTATAGAATGGTGCTCTGGCATGAGTGGCATCTTCAGATGAGGAGGGAGGTAATTTCAATGCCTATTGACATAGGAGACCGTAAATATGTGTTGAATACAGGGGGTGACTTGTGTGTTCACAGGAAACAACAGAGGGAAAGGTTTGTAAATCACTAGTTATCATTGATTGAAAGTTGTCAGTGAATGTCTATAAACACTTGCTCTCCGGCAGGCACTCGGTAATAACAGGAATGGGAAGCTTATTTCTGTCCACCCTAGTTGAGATTGCTTAAGCCTATTATGGCATTACACTTAAGTATTAAGGATACTTGACAGTATCCTAGTTGAGATCATCTAACTCGGCATAGATCAAGGACAAAATCTTGCTCTGTCTTGGGTAGTGTGTTTACCAACTAATCCAATGGATCAATGACCTTACATTTATATAAAATTAAAATTCTATGGGAAGTGTGTTAGTTGCCATCTATCTGCCTTATATTTGTCACCATGTGACATATTAGCATCTCTATCTTTGTATATTAGAAGTACTCCCCCTCAAAATCATACATAAATTATATGAACTGCAGAAAAAACAGAACATAATGTGCAAAACAATGCCTCGCATCCAAGCACTCCCTATTTATCATCAATCCTCGAGCTCACTTGTTGTTCATTCTAAGAGCCTTACCCTATTATTAAGGTGTTGCATGTAGTTTATCAAATGCCCTCTGAAAACCCAAGTAAATTATATCCACCATATAGTCCTTGTCCACGAGTTTAGTTACCTCCTCTAAGAATTCCATTAGATTTGTGAAGCATAGCTTGTGGCTTTCTAATTCCACGCTGACTACTTTATGGCTCCCGCACTGACTGCTTTTGTTTCACCTCCTTTGTCAATCCTAGTGGAGTCTCTACTGTCAAATTTCCTTTCAGCTTCAGCCTTTCTGTGCACCTCGTTTTTCTGTTAAAAAGTTATCATAAATCAGAGCACCTCTGCAATGGTCAGACATGTAAACATTGCTGGGGTAAGGGGTGGGGAGGGAGAAAGAGATTAATTTGGGCTTTTGTTCTCTTCAGAGGAACAGAGAAACCACTAGTAAAACCTATGCAATTTCTTTTTCCCCTGTGTTGTGACTGCAGGAAGTGATGCATGCACTCCGAACCACATGGCACACCACGTGCTTTGTCTGCGCTGCCTGTGGGAAACCCTTCGGGAACAGCCTCTTCCACATGGAGGATGGAGAGCCTTACTGTGAAAAAGGTACAGTGGCTTACAATGTCATATAATCCCTACGTATGATTTAGCGCCTTATCACTTGCTGAGACACCTCAAAGAGCTTCACAGGCTATATTGTAAAGTTAATTCACTGTATATTTCTGGGCGAAACGCAGCAACAATTGCGCAGAGCCTTATCCCACAAACAATCGTGGATTGAGTGACCAAATTATTATTGTTGTTATTTTTTTAAGGGATTATTACCCCGCAGAAAAGCGATCCGCCAATTGACTAACAATCGGGTTCTTACTTACTGCTCGGTAAACAGAGGTGTGCGGAGTAAGGAAACTTGCCCAACGTTTCGCCCTGCCGGGAATCGAACCCAGGTCCGCTCGCTTGCGAGGCGAGTGCGCAAACCACTAAGCTACGGAGTGTCAGAACTGAGAAGGAAAAGAGTTCTTTGACTCAGTCCAAGGAATATAGAATATTTCCATTTGTTCTAGTGTAACTTAGTCCCTCGCATATGGACCTGCAAATACGCCACAACGACGGTGTCACATTGCCATAAGTGCTCTGAGACACTGCCCTGCGTGAGCGGTGCTATATAAATGCAAGTTTTTGTTGTTATATTGCATCAATCCTTTATATATCCTCAAGATGCTACTGTGTATTTTGTGGCAGCTGTGCCTTCCGAGCCATTACACTCTGAAACTACGGAACTCTCTGCCTCAATCTCTCTGCCTTGCCTGTCTTCAGATCACACTTGAAGACCTTCCTCTTCAACCGTGAAAGGCACTAAATGAATACTAATTATTGCTACAATGGAACTGATTTGATTTGATGGGTTTTGTTGAATTTAAAGTTTCACAACATAACCACCGGGCCTCCAAAGCTTGCAAAAACTGTTCCACAAAGTAACAGCACTGGGATCCTGTGTCCCTATTGTGCATTCACAAACTCAGCCGCCTGTTGCTGAACAGAGCCAGGTGCTTCCCTCCAGTGAGTGAAAGAGAAATTCACCACAAAAATTGCCCTTGATCTAGATACTTTTAACATCTAATTCAGGAGGTGTGCAAAGTGAAAGCATTCACCCATAAAACACACAATCACTGCACTTTACAGTATATCCTGGGAAGCGCTTTGGGATGTTCTCCAGACATGAAAGGCACTATACCAAACAAAAGGATTATTATTACCTGAATGCATTTGCAATTGGAATATGGTGCTTGCTAAAACAAGGGCATATGGAGAAAGTTTATCCTTTGGTCAATTAAATTTATTGCACAGGGTACACTCTGTTCCTTCTTGGTTTTCTTTGTTGTCTTGCTGCTCTCTGAATATTTAACAATATGAAATTCTTATTTTTTTTCCCTTCCCCCTTGGTTTTCAGATTACATTGCCCTCTTCAGCACTAAATGTCATGGCTGTGACTTCCCTGTGGAGGCTGGAGACAAGTTTATTGAAGCTTTGGGTTACACCTGGCATGACACCTGCTTTGTTTGTGCTGTACGTATGACACAACATAGTTTTTGCACAGATTTGGAAATATCTTATCAGCGTGCACCTTTTCAGTATGCAACTGGCAGTTTTGACCAAAAATAAGGCAATAATGTAATGCTCCAGAGTCTTTTTGTTTTTCTGGACAACAGACTGAGCAGATCACATTAAACTTTTTATAACCGAACAAACGTCCCATTATGGTGAAAGCTGAAATGGAAACTTCAGATGAAAAATTCCTCCTGTCGCTAAGTATTAGTAGCACCAATGATGCACGTTGGGCTAACAGTCTGCGTATCTGGTTACCTGTAAAGACCCCCAGATCCTTAAGAACAAATATCAGATTAAAATCCTTTTGAAGCAAGCTGAATAGCCGCAGACTTGCCCACCAGAATGTCAGTAGATTGAATGTTAGGGCTGCCTAAAAAAAGTGATTGCCTCAGCTCAGTGAGCATCATCAGTTTTCAGTTTCATCGATAGTTAGAGGTCTGCACAGATAGAAAAAAAAGTCAGTTTCTGGAAGAGGACAAATAAGCCTTATGTCAGTTAGGTAAAAAGTTCAACCTAAGATGCAAGTGAGAGTTGTTTAGTTAATGGGACTGACAAGAAGTGACCATACAGCTATAGAAGCCCATTATAACAGGCTTTATGTTGGTGGAACCTGACATTTGCTTACCAAAAAAAACACAATTGCACACAAAAACCCAGACAGCTTGTAATGTGATTAAAAACTGTCCAGCATCTGGACCCATGTGGGACTTCGTCACCGCAGTGACGGATCAAGGCTACGTTTCGTGCGATTCAATGCAGCCGGTAAGTGCAGGAGTAATGGAGGATAGGGTACGGTATTACAAATTAGAAGATGATAAATACGATTAGCGCAAAGAAATCTAAGTAATTTTGATAGGAAAGTGAATGGGATTCAGGTGAATGAACTACTTAGGCAACTATTAGATTTGTGTGCAAGTTTATTGCACTGCATTGCAATGGCACATTGTGCTGCAGTTAACAATAGAGCAAACCGCAGCACAGGGATGGGTAGCTTTGTGTTGTGATCATGGTGTAAATGTCCTCAGACAGCTAGAATGCTTTGCAGTAAAAGCTGGTACCAGTTTGTTTTTTTGCCTATCTGAATAAAAGATAAGAGTATCCCAAACAGCAGCCTTTACATTTGGCCCGTGAAAGCTCTCGGTTATATATTTGGCCTTTAAAGTTATTACTTTGTACTTTCAGGTGTGCCATGTGAACCTGGAAGGTCAGCCATTTTATTCCAAAAAGGACAAGCCACTGTGCAAGAAGCATGCTCATGCTATTAATGTTTAAACCTTGGGACCAGCAAAACAGAGGAAGGAACCTGGAGGAGACAAGTTTGATGGAACAAGGTGCATTTGGGGGAGAAGCAGTGTCTCCTCCAACGAAAACTATACGCAAATGCCTTTTAATCATTTTATTTCTTGTGCTTTTTTTTGCTTTAATTAAGTTGCAAATGTAATTCAGATTGCCAAAATTTGCGAAAATCAAGTAGAATTCAGTGGGTCTGCTTTATTCCTTTGCTGACATGATGCAGGAGTGCATGACTTTGGTGTGGTGGAATGCAATCTGTCCACAGCAGGAAGATGTCTGCATCCTCTCAAGCTTTTTGAACTTATTCGTTACAATCAAAACAATCCAGTGGTTTAGAACTGTAACATTCTGTTTAACTTTGACAGAATGGTCAGTGAGTGAGCACCTGCACCCCCGCGTACTGAATACAAATGTTACTTAGAATTAGGTCTCTAATTGAACAAGACAGGTCCTGCATTGAGAAGCCAACATTCTCAACTTAATTGCAATTGCTGCGTTAGACTTACTGTAGGCGACTTTAAATACATAGAAATCTACGTCTTAGACTTTCTAGAATCTGTATGGTTAATGGATTTAAGTTCTAGTCTTTCCATATGGAATCTGCGGTTCAGCTACTTGTGCGTCTCTCACTCAGATTCATTAAGAATAAGAAAGCAAAACTGACGGCTAAAAATATAGTAGCTTTGCCGTTACTATTGTGTTTTAGATGTTTGTGAAGTAGCACAAATATAAATGTGGGTATGTGTGATATTGGCAGCTTGCCACTGATGTTCCCGCATTCAGATAGCCTTGAGGTGGAGGTAGAGGTAGTGATTATGACACTCCAGGAAAATTATCAGGCTTGGTATTGTGTTATAAGTAAGCTCCACAGTTGAAAAGCCCACTGATACTGTCTGTCTCGGCTCGTGTCTGAAGGATGGGCAATATACTCAAACTATGACTTTAAAAATTGTACTATACACTAGAAAAGGATACGATTTGCAAAATTAAATAATAGGTTTGTGTTTCAAGTCGGAATTTTAGCTAAAGTGTTTACTTTGGCCTAGCAAGTTCAGAGATTCCAATTTGATGTAGAGTGTAGTGTGCAAGAGTCGCCTTCAGTTCTAAATGGACGAACATAATCAAAGGTGGTTAACCCCCAGATAGTTAAGTTGATCAGTTTATTAACTTCTCATCTTCATCCTAAATTCAGTTTCTAGTATCCTTAAACCTTTAAAAAAAAGGAAGAATTTATTGTTCTTTCTTTACTGTCCGAGGTGTCACAGCAAATAAAGGGCGACCCTGTTATAACACAGCACTTTGGGGCCTTGTCGTTGGACACTGCATTATAACTGGTTCACGACAAAAATAGCCGACAGTCCCACTTGTGGGTGGTCAGATCACCATTGATATCACATCCAGCTTCTGGCGTGGGTTGGTCAACTGGGCATGTGCGGTCAGCTGGATTTCAGCATTGTGAAACCTTGTGAAAGTGCTTGCGATTGACCAATTTCCTTTCACCGGGCACACAGGAAGCTGGCCAGTCCATGCTGGAAATGCGCTCCACATTTGGTAACCGCGGACACCCATGTTCCAAGTGAATTCGCGCTCTTGCATTTCCCCTTAAAATGGAGTCGTACTGTACCTAATTGCCATTACAGCACAGAAGGAGACCATTCGGCCCATCGTGCCCATACCGGCTCTTTGGAAGAGCTACCCAATCAGTCACACTCCCCGGCTCTTTCCTCGTACCCCTGTAAAATTTTCCTTTTTAAGTATCTATCTAATTCCTTTTTGAAAGTTATTACTGAATTTGTTTCCACCACCCATTCAGGCAGTGCATTCCAGACCGCAACAACTCTCCTTTTTTTTCTGTGGTAAATCAGTAGATTTATTTACCCGAATGAGAGAGATAAATCTAATAAATTGAGTTTATTACAAAATTTGCCAGGCATAGAATCTCTGTATTTGACTGATTTTTTTTTTGTGAGCTTATTCGACAGTGAGAGTTTCAGATTAATCCTAAAATTACTGAGCCTGATTTCTAGTACTTCTATACAATTTGGCCATTTAAGTGGTTCAAAACACACCAGCTCAGTTTGTGTTTAAATACCATAAAATGTTATTTACTACAGTACTGACATTCATTGTTAAAGCAGCCCATTGTTACAGCACTGTTGAAATGCAAACATTTTTCACCACACAAAAAAAAACTTGAAAAAAGGCCAGGATGGAAAATATTTGCAGCAGAAAAATATTTGTTTTTCCAGAATGTTAATTGCTGACTGCCCTTACCTGACTGCAGGTAGTAAGGTATCCTTTGTTTACTGCAGGGTGGGTAGCAAATCTTTGAAAGAGACTGTTTTATAGTTTGAAAAATGAGGAATGGAATCATTGCTTCCACTAATAAGACTTCCTGTCTCTTGAGCACACCTGACAATGCACCGGATTGAGTTACATGCATTTCTTAGATGGATATCTAGATAGTGAGGCAAAGGATCAGCTATTATCACTACCTTGTCAATTGGCATTTGTAGAGTAAAGTTGCTCGTGTGTTGGAAGTTCAGTGCCGATGCTGCTCAGATGATCGGTTTTTGATAGAGTTGACACGTAAGAGAAAGACTGCTCCAAATAACAACAATCCATTCAATAAATCCATCACTATTAAAACTTATGTAATAGATGTAATTCTACGGCAGGATCGAATGCTCAATTCATTTGGTGATGCCAGAGCTGAGCAGTGTTCTGCACGTGCACAACCAATGCCCAGTTTATATTGCTGGAAGCAAATTAATATCCCTTTTCAGCAATAAAATGATTTGAATTTGTTTTTTAAAAAAACAAACAAATGCACACTTTCCATTGTTAATCGCAATGCCTAGGACTGAGGAGAGGTCAGTCTGTGCATGCTTTTGTTCTATAGACAATAATGGACTGGGAGTTTTAAGAATTGTGGGATGAATGCTGCATGGAGCAAGTATTACTTGTCATAACTGTAATACTAATTTTATATTTAGTGTTATGAATGTGTATATTTGGGGGCCGAGCAAATACTAACATTTCACACAGAATAAAACATGGCATCAGTGACTTTTTTTCAAAAAAATACTGTTGCTTTCCATGAAAGGATCATGGAAAAAAACACATTAGTGTTAAAGTAAAAAGTGGATGAAGAATTGTATTTTGAGAGATTTATTTTTGACTTCTTTTGCCTACCCTTTATGTATTTCGCTTGGTATGAAGTGCACATACCTATTAAACGTGCACATTCCCATTTCTGAACCAAACTTGCAGAATTTACAGTATATAGATTGTGGCATTACTCTTGGAAGGTAACAGTTTTGAGGAAGGTTTAACTTACGTTTGTAATGACTGTGTACCAAGTCAGTGCAGCTTAGTTAGTAGTTTTGAGGTCACCTCCTCACTCTTTACTCCTTCCATCCTATCGGTGGTCGATCCTTCAATAGCTGAAACTGTGCTTCACAACTCTGTTCCCCAAATCTCATTATCTTGTGCTTTCTCACCTCGCCTTCATATACCTCTTTATAAATTGGAGTTAATGCCTCTTTTGGTTTTATATTCTGGGTTTAAAATCAGGCATCTTATTTGCCTTTTGCATTGTTTTCTGTATCTACAAACTAACCTTAAATGAACTTGAATCCCAAATCCTTTGTAATCGTCCTCCTCTCCCCCACACCATACTTACCGTTTGTAATGTATTTTCTTCTGCAGTTCTTATCTCCCACTATACTTCCTTTCCTATGTTGAACTCCAATCTGTTAGTGTCCTGCCAATAGTCCATTTGTCTTTGCAATTTTCTGTTCTCATCATCATAATTCATTATATGTCCCACTTTAGTGTCAAATGCAAACTTATATAAACTCCCCAATTCCCAAATCCATCTGACTGATATTTATACAGACAAATACTTGTCACTAATCACCTATCAGAGAATATATCTTGTCTCAACTCTCATACTTTCCAACCAATTTCTTACTAATGCCAGGAAGGTTGCCTCCAATTTCATGCACTTTATTTTTAACTAATACATTCTCTTATCAAATGCCTTATTTAAATCTATGTAATTAACATCCATAGTTCATCCCCTTGCCACCAACTCAGAGGTTCTATCAAAGAGCTCTATCAGGTTAGTCGGAATGTGACCTGTTTTTCACAAGCCACGCTGCCTCTTTGTGATCAGCTCATGCTTAACCAAGGACTCGTTTATTCTGTCCCTGATGACAGATTCTCATAGTCTTCCAATGATGTTAAACTCACTGACCTAATACTCAGTTCGTGCCTTTCTTTTTTGAATAACAGTATAACACCTGCAAACTTCCGAACTCGTTTCTCCAGAAAGCTTTGAAAAGATTATAAAGTAAATCTCCAATTTTCTTGCCTATTTTGCCTATACCTTAGAATGAAACTATCAGAGTCTGCAGATTTTGTCTCTGATTCCAATAGCTTATGCACAACATGTGTGTTGGTTATTCTAATCTGTGCATTTTTTCCCCCTTGACAAACTCTAGCCTTCACAGTATCTCTCCTATAAATCCTCCCTCATTGTGCTGACCAGAGCAAAATATTCATTTACTAAATTTGACACGAAGATATCCTCAATTATTGTTGTAGCTTAATCTGTTTTAATCGCCTACCTCCTTTTCCACTGTTTTTCTTCATGAACTCATGTTACCATCTCATACTTGGCCCTCATTTTCTGGTTTCCCTCTTTAGGTTTTATAATCTTCTTAGACTTAAACTCTAGTCAGTTTTCCTCACCGTTATTTGAAGCCTTTTCTTTTTGTTTAATAATGATTCTAATCATTTGTTTATGGTTACTTCATATCATAAGTACACTTCCTTTTAGGGACATATGTGTTTTCTAATGCTTAAATGACCTCCTTTAGTAGGTTCCACTGTGTATCATTTGATTTACCGACCAGCAATGTGTACCATTCCTTTCAGGAAAGCTAAAGCAAAATGTAAATTACAAAAGCACTAGAAAGGAAAACGCCCCACGTTATCTTAGTTGAGTTCTAAGAGTGTGGGTTCATAAATGCAAAGAATGTCCTTAATTCAACACTAATTGGCACTAAATTGGCAGTCCCCAACATGATGGCTGCTGTGGGAAATTGAAAATGTCCTGATTTGCAGCAGGAATTGCTTGTTGGAGGCTAGTTCAAGGATGTGGGAGCTTTATTCTGCAGCTAACTGCTTTAATTGACCTTGGACTTTTTGTTGCTGACACTGAATGCCCAAGATAGCATTTCATTTCTCAGCACTTGTATGTCTCATCTTCATGTGCACAATATTCAGATTTTTACAATGGGAATAGATTGTTTATGTGATTTGTATAGCGTGGTATCTCTTGGAGAGATAGTCCTGCCAGAAGATTGTTGTTTGAGAACAAAACAAACCTCTTCACTTGGTTATTAATATTGTGGGTTGCCATCTTACAAAGGATGCGAGCTACACAGCCTGCAGTTAGCAGCTTCAGGTTCAAATTTGATAGGTCTAAATGCAGCTTTAAATTATTGCTAAATACTGTAAGAAACTACCTGCGTGAAGGGTGCTATATTAATACGAGTTGTTGTTATTTGCAGCAGTTATTTTATGCTTCCTTGTTTTGATTCTCACTAGAATTTTAGTGTAAACAATTAAGATTGAATATTTCTGTTCTTAGTCTATACAGTGGTCCTATGTGAAACTCCTGCAGCCTGTAATAGACTACAGAAATGTAATTGGCATTTTAAATTTCTAAACTGGATTAACTGTGTTGTATTCTACCCAGAGCAGTGTTATTTTCAACTTCAGAAAGTAGATATAGCATGATGAGATGTAGCAGGCGAGTTTTATACAATTGTTTAGCTGACTCTCCTACTCACTGATATGTTGTTGTCATAATTGCTATAAATTGGGCATCTTCCATCACACTATTTGAAAACTGGACTGTTTGTTTTATAAAATACACATTATAATAAGGCAACTTTTTTCTAAATCTATCTAGCATGTGTACATATAGTCGGTAGTGCAAAAATACTGCATGTTAACGAATAATTAGATAAATATACTACCTCAACTCTGGTAGTTAATGAATAATGAAATTTACCCTGGTTATATTGCTTGAGTGAACAATTAAATAAACTTACACTGATAATAATGTGAAACTTACACTGGTTATATTAGTTGAAATAATGAAGTGATAATTGCACTAATTAAATTCCACTAGTTAGTGACTAATCATGTGTTGAAATTGGTGCTAGTAGGACATCCACTCAACTAAACAGAAAACTTATTTTATATCAATTTGTATGTCTAATCTTCTCATAAACTTTATTGAAAGCAGCAATGCGCAAATGTGGCTCCAGTACCTTACAAAATTGACAACTTTAACAAACTATTTGACCATTGTGCCATCATACTGTTCTTGCTCCTCATCCTCCATCTATACAAACATACCTCTTAGCATAGGGGACTGGAGAGTGATCAGAAAACCCAAGCCCCCGGATTCTGATGCTAATTATATATCCCCATCATCTTGTTAGTTAGTTATCTCATCACAAACAGAGGTCAAATTTGCACCTACTTGATCTCTATTGCTCAGTGCCAAACTAAATTATGTACCTACTCATGAGTATTGATAAGATAGGGTATTTCCTATTTGGTTGGTGTAAATGGAGCAGACTTTATACTTTATACTACCCCTATAGACTATACACTCCCTATGTAGCACTTGTATATTTTAGTAATATCAAACCAATACTCAGTTTTATTTCTATGTAATTAAAATGTAATGATTTGGAAC